CCGAGAGAAAGACAGACAGCGAGAGAGAGGGAGAGAGAGAGAGAAAGAGAGAATGACTGAAACTAGAATACAAACTGCATTAACCGAGTGAGGAAACATTAACACAATTTTAATCCGCTCATTTTTCATATATGTTTGGGGGGGATACACGAACCCATTCTCCTCAGACCTCGGCGCTCGATGGGTGACCGGGGGATAACGGTTCATTCACAGCCACAGATTCTTCACAAAGCCTTGTCTGCCTGGCAAAGAAAGTGACCAACAAAAAAAAGGAAGTAACGCTAGAAAGGAATTTTGAATCAAATATGTATTAATAAGAGTTACAGGGCCTTTTCCCGTATCCAAGCCGGGAAACGGCTTTTACGCACAGCCATGGCGCAGTCGAATTATTGAGTTTTAATGCCTATCAGGTCTCTCTTTTGTTTATTCAAAGTCACTTAATGTTTTCTAATCGATTACCTAATGTCTCGAGTAATCAAGGGGCGATTTGGGGAAGTCGTTGACCTCTGATGGCTTCAGAGCCCTGGATTGCGGAGTGGGCAAAATGGGCCCACGGGGGGTCAGCGCCAGGCGAGAGAGTGGGGGCCAAGCCCCCCCCTCCCTCAAAATGATGGCTGATGTCAGAGTTGAGGACAATTAGCCATTTTGCGCTTCACTGCAAACTTTAAAGTCACGTAATTCGATTGCACGAACAGCCGTATCAAATGTCATTTAGAGGGAGCCCTGCGTCTTGTCCGAAGCCACTTCTGATTAAGCCGACAGTCTGAAACGCGCTCACGGTAACACGTGTGCTTACAAGTAGCCCTGTTTAACAGCTGGGCATTGGCTGAAACTCTATCGATAAAATGGCCATCTGTTTGCCATTTTCTCTGGACTTAGTCTCATCTCGGCGTTTCTGGAACGTCAACATATTTAGTCCACCGAAAGCCCCCTATCAAAACATATCCCATGGAATCCATGAGGAGAAACTTTCCAGCGCATGTGAAGACGCTAATCCCGAGCAAAAAAGTAGACCCCCTCCACCCCCCCTTTTTCCCCAAGTACAGCGCAGTAAAAGAAAAAAAAAAGGGAGAGGTGGGGGGGAAATAAAAATCACACCACAATCCCCCGTCAGACGCAGCACCCTCTGTTTAAATGTCAGGAAGACAGCTGGGCTTGAATCAAATTCCAGTCATACCGACATAACGTCTCTGTCAGTACAGTGAACAGATCCGGGCCTTATAGCCCGCTGCCCTAAATCCTCCAATGCAGGGGGAAGCAAACTTCCAAAGCGTTGCCTCCGAGCATCACAGCGCAGACTGTTGTGTAGAGATGCCGCTACGGGCTAATTAGGCCACGCAGACAGTACCCCCCCCCCCCCCCCCCCCCCCCATCACCGAGCAATGATCTCAGCAGTATCAACTAAAGACTTCCTGACCACAAAAAAATCCCCCCTTAGCGCGTAAAGTGGATGGGGACATACAGAATTTGCACGGGGCCCGGTGAAACGCGCCAGGCCCTGCTCGGTGCAGCTGCCGGTGGGTGAGAGGTGGTGATCAATGGAAGGCGAGGTGAGAGGGGAGAAATTGTGTGAGGCGTTTGGTGTCCGTTGGTTTCTCCGGCAAAACTCGCGCTCTTCAGATTTGGTTAAAAAAAAATCTTTGTTTTGGAGCGAGATTGCGCACTGGCTCAACTTTGTTCCGCCTTGGGTTTGTCTGCCACATCTCCCCAAAAGCTAGAGCCCTCTGGATCCCCAACATTGCTGTGCTGAACTGTGGGCAATGAATGTGGATGTACTTTTATATATTAAAAAAAAAAAAAAAAAGGAGCTGTCCTCCTTCGCTGGGCATCATCGTCTCCTCCTTAGAAAGACTGTCATCAGAGCAACCCGTGGTTTATTCTCACACATTCCCCTCAACGTTTGATAACAACAAGGCCCTCGCGCTTATTAATTACTATAAGAAAATCAGCTGTAATTGCTTTAGTTGAGACAAGCAGCAGTTATGGATTGAATTATCCAAATTCAGCTGGGTATTGCTGACTGGCTCTTCGCATTTTAGACCTCCTTCTTTTTTTTTTTGCAAATGACTTTGGCTGTGAGGCATGCGGGGAGCCAGTTCTACCTGCTTAAGATCAAATTAGGGTAAAATTACAATTTTTGCATTAAAAAGCAATGCAAATTGTACGCCGGTATCGGTATGAGCAAGCCCCTGGAAACAATGGGGATTTTGGGAGTTTCACACCCAATTCTATTAGACGCCGAGGCGCAATTACGCGTCTCGTCGTCTTACGTTAATAAAGCACGCAAATATCCGCCATTGTGCGTTCGTTTCACCCCTCAAAAACCTGTTTTCTTTCAAGCAAAACCCCGATAAATTTATTAAATAACATTAGCATTAATGACACACGCGAGGGGCTTCCTTTCCCCTCTAATACCAATGAATAGCTGTTTTAATACGATTGTTTTCCCCTTAAAGTGACTATTTATGCTACACCTCCCCACCACCCCCCCTCACCCCACCCCACCCCGATCCACCATGGAAGCAGCAGCCGGGTAGTCTCTCCCCCCCTTTTATGAGTGAGCTATTGTGCCCGAGGACAGGATCCCACACACAATCTGAGGACTGAGCCAACAAAAACAGGCCCTGACAGACAATGCCTCGCTTCACCTGCTCCAGCACTGTGCATCGCAATTATGCCAAGGACATGTACAGTTAGGCTTCGTTCACTCTCCCGCAAAAAAAAAAAAACACAACTGCCTCAGAATTAAACCGAGCACCGAAAATCATGCAGATAATAAATGTGGTCGCTCAGGAGATGGAAAAGAAAAAAAAGGAAGAAAAAAACAGGGGTGGTGGGGGGTTTGCCCGGTGCTATATCTCCCAGAGTTACTTTTTTTTTTTTTTTAAACTGCATGGTTACCAGACAGTGAAATAGGGAAAGCAAGAAACAATACCAAGATGCATATATATCACCAGACTGATTCATGCTCCAGACGAGATTGATTCCGAGCCATATAGGTGCCACACCATCAATACACAATCAAGCTCGCGCTCAGATGTTATGCAACGGCCTGCTTCTCTGCAGCTCTGCACGCAAAATAAAGCAAAGGCCAGAATCAGATTTGCCATCGCAGACAGCGAGAGATAGCCGCACTATCAGACTCAACGAGATGGAGGGGGGGGGAAAGAGACTGAATCCCCGGTTAGATGTGGAAATTCGTTATGAAAATGCTCTGATTATATCACGGGATACACACACAAGGAGCCAGCACACTGAGCGCTGATTGTGCACTGATTACACTAAAAGGCAAACAACATAACAAATATTTGATGCATGTCTTTGAATAAGGCTCCAGCAGCAGAATAAACGGGGTGGTGGGGGGGTGGGGGGGGGGTGAGAGCCAAATATAGCCCGCAACAACCAAACACTGCACACCAGGCCTGTATACATCTCAGAGGGTTTTAGCTGGAGGGGTGGCGCTGCACATTTCAAACGCGAACGTATCCATTGTTGTGAGCCATTTGGCCCTGCATAAGATCATGTGCTCTGAACTAGGGGAGTTTAAAAAGCACGATTTTTTTTTTATTATACTTGAGGGAAACAATGAGTTCAGCTGCTCATTGCAAGGAGAAATCGTCAGGGGAGACTTAAACTCAATTACTGTAGCCCTTCAGAATGTAATGTAAAAAAAAAACACACAAAAAAATAAAAACCACAAAATAAAAGCATCCTATTGTTTTTAAACGGCGAATATAAAAATTAAAAAATGTTAATAAAAATCGAGATGAAGCGTATCAAATATTTATTTTTTTCTGGGCAACAAAGGACTATAATACATTGACAGGCATAGGAACTATTGCCAGCACAGGTCTATACAATACAGCTAAAACCGCCTCCAATTTTTGGACATTATCGGACATAACAAGATATCAGGTGGTCCCAAAAATGTTTTTGAATGTCTTCAACCATTGAGAAAAAAAAAAGACAATATTCCATTTATTGCTTTTATGGTGCTTCAAAGAGAGAACAAGAGGTGAAACGTATTCTGATTGGCACAACACATAAAAGCTTGTATAAAAACGAAAATAGACACACTAAAAAAAAAAACGAGAGAAAAAAAATGTAAATCTCCTCGGGGTCTCACTTATGCTCTGTCTTATCTCAGATTTAAAATAATAACTGAATAGGATGATATATATAGAGAGAGAAATGGAAGTTTATTTCTATTAAATTTGTTCACTTGCTTCCGTGTCGCCTCGACATGCTACAAGAGGGCTGAATTGAAATATCCCAGAGAAATAAAATACCCCAAACTTCTGTTTTTCTAGAACCATAAAATCACATGAAGAACTAACCGAATATTCAAACCCACTAAAACAGGAGGCACCAGATAAATAAAAAAAAAGTTTCAACAGACGCACCATATTTACAATTCCCATTAAATTACACATAAATAAATATATACATACATGAACACTGATTCCCTTATATAACCGTGAATCGTGTTGAAAATTCAAAAAGTTCAAGTTGGTCGCTTGGAGAGAGAGTGTGTGTGTGTGTGCGCGCGCGTGTGTGTGAGAGAGAGAGTCTACAACTGAAGTCATGACATGGATATCTGTGGAATTTTCGCTTTGTTTTTCAAGTTTATTATTCACAATACTGATAAAGAATTCGTCTTCTTTTAGCTTCGGTTCTTGTCACAATCGTAAAATTGAGAGATAGAAGGGGGTCTGCTGGATTTCAGTCCTTTCGTTGCAGCTCATAAAAAAATAGGGTTGGTTTGGGGGGGTTTGAGGGGGGGGGGGGGGATGGGAGGGAGTACAGAAAAAGTCCTCTGGCTGAGGCGGCGCACCGTATCCTCGCCCTGGAGCTGCTCCTCTGCAGCGTTTTTCTCTTTTCTTGTTTCTTTTCTTTTCTTTTTTTTTTCCTCCGGAATATTTGCGTGGTTCAGGTGATGAAAGAAGATTCTTGCGTCCTTTTCCCCCACTTGAATCCAAAGTGGAATGTCAAAACAAAAACAAAAAAACAAAACAAAAAAAAAACACGGGAAATCGCGCAAGATCAGGAAGTGGCACGTTTAACTTTATCAATAATATTTATAAGGTATTTATAATATTTATATTGGATGAGTAGGGGCCCGGGACGAGGGGCGTGGGTCGGTGCAGGAGGAGGGCCCCGGGATTCGGCCCTCAGGTGTAGTATAGGTGGGAGGGAAAACATCACTTTCTGTGCTTCTCGTCTTTGTCTCCGCCTTTAGTGCCGTTATCTGAGTGACTGTTGGGGTTGTTGTTGAGGTACATTTTGTCCATGGCTTTGATAGCCTCGGTCAGATAGTTCTGCAGAGCCGTGACGGCCGCACACAGTGCTGGGGTCCCGAAACCGTGAGAGATTAGACTGAAGTGGGTCAAACAGCTTTGGATTCCCGGTTCGAGAATGGGCTGCGGCCGCGAGTTTCCCAGAGGCGAGCGGTCCTGGGACAGCAGGTCTGTAAACTCTTTGCAGACTTGCCTAAAAGCAAAAAAAAAAAAGCGGGGTGTTAATGACCGTGTTTAAATTCCCTGATAAAAAAGTTAAAAAATAAATAAGTCAAAAATCAGAGTGTGGACACGCTGGAGGAACGACCGGCCCCTGCGGTGGTCAACTCCGCGTTTTGCTCCAGGCCAGCGAAAAAGTGCCAATTCACTGAAGTCTCCCTGCTTCCATAATCAATTCACTTTATCCTTCCATAGAGATGACAACGTGTGCGTTAACTTTCCCTGATTTCAACAAAAAAAAAAAGCCAAAAGGCGCGCGTAACGAACGCGTCGTGGCGCAGAACAGGTGGAAGTGAACCTCTGCTCAGTGTCACGGTGATTCATTCTACGCTAAAAAGAAAAGAAAAGAAAAAGGAACTTATTTAAAAGCGAAAACGTAAAGGGGCGAAATATTTGTTGCACCATTTATGCGATTTTCAACTAATACTAGAAAAACGAAACCCAATAAGTGATAATAAAAAAAAATTAAAAGAAAAACATAAACTTATTTTCAGCTGATCTCATCTTAAATATTTTCTAAGGCGTGAACAAAAATGGCTCCATCATTAAAACGGTTTGGGCCCCCTCTCCATTCCGTGGTAACAACACTTTAAAAGCCTGTCATAGGCGGTTATGGCTGACAGCTGTTTGATTATAGCAGCCCATCATCAATATTAAATGCTGGCCCCTGCCTCTCTGCGCGCGCCTTGTGAGGAATCCCCGTGCTTTAGTTAATGCATAGTAAACAGCGATGGCAGCGCTGGATGGAAACCAGCTATGTGTCAGTGTCTCTGAAATGACACGGTAAACAAAACGCTGCTCTGCCAGCGGATAAGAGAAAAAAAAAGGCCCAGTGAACAGACCAGCAGCACTCTGGGCCTGTCCGACCGCGCTGTGCTGCTAATAAAAATGGATGCACCTGTTTAAATACGAAGAAAATGAGCCTCTGGATAAAATACGTATTAGGGAACAATGAGATTTTAAAATCATTGTTATTATTTTATTGTTATTACCCATTATTATTACTGTTAGGCTCGTCAATAACATATACATATATAGTTTAACATTGTGTATCTGATATTCTTAGAAGCCAGAGGGGGGAAAAAGCCAGTTAATAATTGTGTGGGGAGGGAAAAAAAAGGAAAGAAAAAAGGAATGTGTTTTTATTGAAGTTGTCTAAGCATGTGCAAAAACTGTCAATAAGCAAACGGGGCCCTGCTGGCACTGGGTGGGATGCATTCGGTGTGACACGGGTGAAATGTGAGAACAACACTTACTTCGTGGCCAATAGCATGTTTTTTCTTTGGACTTGCTCGTTTGGGTCGGAATGCTGACGGTTTACATATTCGGCTACTGCCTTGGCTGGAAACTCGGTCTCGCACACATAACCGAAGTCTCTGGCAAGATGCACCGCTTCGCCTGAGAGGGAAGAAAAATGAAAAACATGAAGTTTTTTTTCCTGGTACATAAAAAATACATATATTCTTATTAAATATGGTCACATCAGGAATACTAAAAAAGTCCACCCCTCCAGCCCCTGCTTGGACCATCACGTGATTAATCTGCCGTCTGTTTATGCCTTCAGACAGCAGGGTCATGGCACCTGTGCGTTCCCAACAACTCTGACGGTAATCCGGGACAATACAATTTTCACAATGATAATAATTATCATTTTATAATGCTCGGAAACTGACGATACGCGTTAAGTTTGTTTTTTTTTACTTCTTCCCTACCGTGAGAACGTTTCGGCATGGGGTAGAAAAACTAAGTGGATCTGAAATATAGACGGAGCGTCATGCTTAACACCATGTCATTGATTACCAATGCCTGCGCGTTATTGAAAGTCCAGCAAATCACAAAGGCATGGGGAGAAGCAATTTGAAAAAGGGCTGTGGCTAAATCTCACGTTCTGGGAGCTGCACTTCCCATTCGGTCCGAGTCTGGTCTGAGCTCGCCTCTCCTTGTTGGTTCCATTCCCCCCCCCACACCCCCCCACCCCTCCCAGCCTTTGGTTTTAATTTCCTGAAGCAGTTGAGCTTTTTACTGCGGGGCTTCCTGCCCATAAGCCCCTTTCTCCGGAAGAACGCATGCGCCAATTAGCATCAAAGCTCGGGTCCAGTAAACTATTTTCCATAAAATGGAGCGGATCATAAACAATGACAGCACAGAAAAAGACGGTGTCCCCTCTTCAAACAGCCAGGCTGCCTACACCCCCCCCCCACACACCCCACCCCCCCTCCCTCCTGTCACCCACCTCCCACGTGCCACCACCCTGGTATTACCCACGTTCAAACATTTCTCCGGGCTCATTACAATAGAGGAGCGGATTTCTCCCGAACACAATGCATATTTTGCGTTTGGGTCCAGTCCGCGGTAATGATTAACGGGGACCAATGAACCGTCGCGGGCTTTCACCTTTGGAAACCATGCTGCACACCAAATACCACTGCACTGAATAATCAGACTCAACTCCGGCGAGAGAAATGGAGTTATCCAGTCGCGTAAAAAAGGCATCTTTTTTTCCGCGCGCAATAATTGCCTAATTTATTCTTTAATAGGCCCAAAACGTATAGCTCCCAATAGGTCAGCGGCGGTGCCGTTCGAATGCAGCGCAAATCTGCACTGCAAACCAAAGCAAAAGGGGGGAAGCTATTAACGAAAGAATTAAGTCGCCATTAAAAAATCCGCCCCGGCGCCGCTATATCCAGGCTGTATTAATGTTTGAAACAATGCCGGGTTAATAAATCAATCGACTTCTCATCCGCGAGGTGAAACAGCTCAGCGGTGCCCAATAAACAAGCAGCACTCAATAATTAACTGGACTTCAACACAAATTAATCCAGTGTATAAACTAGGCCAGCCGTGGACCTGCAAGTGTGCTCCTGAAAGCGAAGGCCAACGCTCCAAAGCCACTAGAATTACCAGCGCCATTCTCTCTCTCTCTCTCTCTCTGTGGATGTGTGGGTCTCTCTGTCTCTGCCTTGCTCTCCACACACAGACACGCGCGCGAAAACACACACGCGCGCGCACGCACGCACACGCATCCTTCATGCTTTATTACTTGCGAGGCAAAGTCGGTCCACATTACACGGATGAGCGCATATGCTGATTTCCAACACAGAAAAAGAGAGTGGTGGTGGTGGTAAGGGGGGGGGGGTGGGGGGTGGAGAGAAAAGAAGGGAAAAATACAGTTTTTGCAAGTACCTGATGTATCGCGGGACCGGCAGGGGAGTGGGAACGTGATTTAAGGCTAAAGAGACTTACCTTCGACTAGTGACGTCAGCAAGGTGACGTTGGCTGCCTTGCGTCTGCCTGCAGGTAGATTCAAGCCGATTTTATCCAGCTTCTCCCGCAAGGATCTTCCTCCGTTCTTGGACTTGGCTCTGTGACAGCAAAACAAAAAAACAGAAATTTCATTGTGGTGTTGCTCGTGCGGACGGATTTGCGTGTGGGGGTGGAGGGAGGGCGAATCTATGAAGAGGCGCATTTAATTTGAAATGGACATGAAGATGCTGCTCTCCAAACTTGGCGGGAGTGGTTTGTGAGCATCGAAAATCAGAGGAGGGGGAGCGGAGGGGGGGGAGAGAAAAATGACGGCCTTTATGTGTTTGTACACTCTTGATAGTTTGGGCTAAAAGACACAAACAGATTTGACCCAATAAAGAGGTTCGTCTGCTCTTTGTTGTTTTTAATTTGGGAGTAGCTTTGCCCTCGTCCACATCTCTGACACGAACCATAAATAACACCAAAAAGGAGCCGCGGCCTTATCACCGGCAGACAAAAATACTGTACAAACTGAATAAATAAAGTCCTACTTAATAGGCAGCGCTATTACTGGCTGCGCGTCTGCTGCAGCACTTCAGTAGACAGTTCACTGGAGACCAATGTTTTCATGTGTAATGCCTTCACTGGGCCTATAGAGCTGGTGTTGAAACAGACTAGGCCCACATTAATTTGAGGGAGACTGAGAGAGGGAGCTCCAGTGCGCAAAAGGGAAGTTAATATGGAATTTAACAGAGCCCTCCTGCTTTAAATGCAGTAGCTAGGTGTCATGGTTGGTCGATTTTAATTATTCTTGGTACAGAGGAGGAGAGAGAGTGCAGAGAGAGAGAGAGAATGAGAGAGAAAGAGAGAGAGAGGCACACTGGCAGGGAGAGAAATGATTGGAGAAGAGGGGCAGCGTTTCGTGCGCAAGCGCACAAACACAGGTAAAGACATGGGCAAAGTAGAGAGTATATGTGTGTGTGTTTGTGTGTTATTTTTCTTTCTTTTTTTTGTTTTTTTGTTGGTCAAACTCACCTCCTCAGCACCCCGCCCAGCAGAGAGGCGTTCAGGCACTCGGGCGGCGACAGGCGTCTCTGCACCTCGGCCACCGTGACTTTGTATTTGGATGTGGAGCTGAGCAGGGACAGGCGGCCGGGCACCGAGCAGAACACCTCGTTGGGGTTGACCACCCCTCCGAAAAGACCGTCCTTATTTACGGGGATGGAGACGCTGTTGTTCTTGGATAAAGACACTGGACCTATAGCCAGAGGTTGGGGTAGAAGAGAGGGATAGTGAGATGGAGAGAAGGAGGGGAGGGGGAGTCAGGGATGAGGGAGGGAGAGGAAGAGAGAGAGAGAGACCGTGCTCAGTGAATTTCATGCAATGCAGAGCCTTAACTAAATGAGAAGGGGGGACTTAGGCCTAGTATTTAGAGTTTAGCATCACATGTGTGCACGTTTAGAAACAAGCATAAGGAGCACATGCAGGGCCATGATAATGGCAATAATAATAATAATAATAAGCATCGTTATTGTTGTTGTTATTCTCATCATAATGAATCATTTCCACGATCTTGAGGCGTCAATATTTCATGTGAACATATTTCGGGCAGACAGGGAGATCCAGCACCAGCTCACTGATAACCCCGCGCACTTTTGTCCCCCCCTCAGATCGCTGTTGAGCGAATTTGCATCCACTCCAACGGACAGATACGGAAAAGGTCTCCCATTTTTTGGACATATCCTCGGTATCTAGCAAAACACCGTTGTCCGTGTTTGATTTCACACCGAGGGGGAGGAGGTGTGTGTGTCTGTGTGCGTGTCAGGGGTGGGGGGGGGGGGGGGGGGGGGGGGGGGCCTTACACCGTTTTGGTGTGCAGTAACCGGAGACAAAGGGGGACTGTGCGTCTTTGGATAGATCACTTGTGACATTAATGGCTCAAGGGAGCCTAATAGAGACAATAGGAGTTAAACGAACTCTTGAGATTACTAATATAAGAAGCCAATTATCATGTTGATGTGCAGATAGACTCAAAAAAGGGAAAGAACGTGGAAAAAAGACAGGACGAAAAAATCATTCGGAGAGGGAAGAAAAGAAGCAACAAAAAAAAAAAAATTGCTGCACATCGTATCCAGCGAGATTTAATTTGACCTGACAAAACGCTTTTAAACCTGGCCGCGAAAAGGCCTCCTTATGTTGGATCATCAGCCACATAAATCACCGATTCCCTGACAGCAAATAAAAAACTATTCTGAAGCAGCACAATCCGTCGCGCCTCACCAAAGTACTCTAAATATGAAAATTACACCTCCATATATATATGTATTTAAGGGGGGAAAAAAAAGAAGAAGCGGTGATTTTCATTTTCCATGCTTGGTTTTGATTCCCCCTTTTTAAAACGACATTTTATCAGCCAGCACACACTCGGACTGTGCTCCATCCGGCCGTATAACTGTACCAACTTCCATTTTAGATTTGGCCATGCTGCGTGATTGCAGCTATTGGCTCCCGAGTGCCAGCTTTCGTCTGCAAGGCCCCTGTATCTTTGGCCATCGATAGCACGGGGCCTACAAAGCCCACCAGCTCCCACTCATCTCCCCCTCTGCGCCCAAACGCTGACAGTGAATTCCATCAGCGAGGAAAAAAAAAAAAGAAAAAAGAAAAGAAAAAAGGTGCAGGCAGTTTGATGCACTTTGGAAAAGCATGTAATGAAAAATAGGCTACTGCGTATTAGGATCAGTCAGGCATTACCGCATTGCATCGAGTTCTCCCTTGACCAGAATGTTGAGCGGGGCGTGCGCGTGGGGCTGTGTGTGCGTGCGTGCGTGTGACTGTGTGCGCACGCGCGCGCTTGAAGAAACATGCATGATATCTCAGAGGAAATTGCTTACCTTTTTTAATTACAGTCTGGTCGGGAATGTGAATTCCTTGATCCTCGACTGGCTATGACACAAAAAAAGAAAAAAAAAGAAACATATTTTAGCATTTTTAAAAAGAAACTATGTGTGCATCGAATACAAAAAAAATCAGTCTCACTCCCGTGGAGGTAAATGCAGCAGGATGCTGTGCACGAACAAAGCCATGGCACAATTAGCAGCCATTCTCTCGCCCAAAATGGAAGCTAATACCTGTTAAGGGGTTGTCCACGGGTGTTTTTGAGCGGGTTGCACGGATGGAAGCGTTGCAGAACAACACCAACTCAGACTTAAATAACGACGCTGCGTTGCCCCATAATCCTGACCTAATTTCGCCCTCAGTTTGGCTCTTTACGCACAAGGAAACTTCTAATCTAGATTGGATAGTAATTACGGCAGCGCAGCCTATTAAAGGCCTATGAACTAATTAGAGAATTATTGGTGTTTGTTTCCGATTAAAACCGGGAAAGAATAGTCTCAATAAGAGACGGGGGTTGGTGACAAATTTAGAACTTATTCATCGTGCGTCTTTAGGATCTGATCGCTCAAACTACAGCAGCAGAACAGACTCAATTCTCTCCTTAGTGCCATCGCAATGTATTATGATGTTATTGTTCACCAAGAATGGTGAGCCCTTGCTATTTTCCCCCCTTTCTTTTATTTCCAGAGAAATCCAATAAAGAGCTAAAGGCATCAAAGATCCGGCGCTGAAATACAGATGTACGCTTATTGTCTTTGTAATTTAGCACTTTCACTTACAGACTATTGCTCCGTTTACGAAGAATGTATATTAAAACGGGCAAATAATAGAATTACACGAGATCTGTTTGGTTACTATTTTTCCAGGAGTGAACCTGAAGCCAAATGGCTGGGATTTATCTTTAATTATCTTGACAAATCAGAAAAAATATTTCCATGCTATTTCTACAAAGCTGGAGACGTGTGTGTGTGTGTGTGTGTGGATGGGGATCTAATTTAAAATCTGGTAATAACTACCCGGGACCTTGTCAAACGCCTCACCCAACTATAGATTGCATCAAATAATATTTACTCTAAAAACAGTTTTTTACTTGTATACGAAACAAAATCATAACAATTTATAGAAGGAGTAATTATTGAGGTAAAGTCGATTAAACACATAGTAAACATTTGATCATAAATTAGAATGAAAAAGGCAGATAGTGCTACGTCTGGAAGTATTAACTAAGAAATTGGTGCCCGAACGCAGCAGGATTAATGACAGCATTCTCATTCATTTTCTTTTTCCTTTTTTCTCTCTCTTTATAGAGATATAAAAAAAAAACAACAATAATTATGCGAACGAGAGGAAATGCGCAAAAACAGGGTAAAAACCGCCAAGCTCACCTGGACATCTTCTAAAGAGTGAGGTATTCCATGGATAGGGATAGAGTCCGACAGTCCGGATTCGATGCCGTGGCCGGACGGTAGGAGCACCTCGCGGCGGTACTCCCGGCACAGCTGGTGGGGCAGGCCGCGGTGCTGGTGCAGCAGGCCGCTCTCCTGGCCCTGCCGCTGGCCCGGCCAGCCCGGGTGCTGGGACTGGGGCTGGGCGTGCAGGGAGTTGAGGGAGTACGGGTCGTTGACGTGCGAGTACGGGTCCTGAGACTGCGGGTAGATGGGCTGGTAGGGCGGGGGGAAGTACGGGGGCTGGAAGTCCGAGTTTGGCGTGTGGGAGAGCGGCGGCGCGCTCGTGTAGGGACTCTGGCCCACGCCGCCCAGCTGAGGTAGCCTGGCTGTCCCGTTGCTGGTGCCGTCGTGACGGTCCTGGACGGGGGGGGGGGGGGGGGGGGAAGGGGAAGAAACAAGACAAGGTTTGAGCCTCGGATACGCAACTAGGAACATGCTCAAACGTCCCGGTTCGGGTTTTTTGGCTACTGTGGATGCATGTATTAGGCTAGACCCTGCGTGGATGACAGGAATAAGACCAAAGAACTAAACCTGAATGGATTTCTAGGATGCCTTTCAATCAAATGAACAAAAGAGCATTTTTAAACAGAAAAACGCAACAAAATAATACAAAAAAAGCTCAATTTCGCCACCACAACCACGTGTCCACAAAGTTGATTTTATCTCCTAAACATCGTTAAACACGATCATAATTTGCCAAAAGTAAATTACAAAAGCAGATATCCAAATTCCAGAGGGATTAAATGTCCATAAATATGTAACCCCGCAAAGTTATTCTTTGATCGCGTTTGCACGGGTGCACAGCTGGTTTTAGGCACGCAGCCTTTTTTGCAAAATACAATTTAACGTGGTAGGGAAAGAAAAAAAAAAGAAAAGAAAGAAAAGAAAATCTGGAACGCAAACAAGCAGAGTGAAAGTATATCTGACATGGTCGAGGCTCCAAGAACTTACCATCGCGGAAAAACTGTGCACTAACATCTGTAAAGATTTTTTTGGGTGCCACTCAAGAGAGGAAAGGGAGGGGAAAAAAAGACCAAAATGATCAGTTCGGAAAAAAAACAAAACACTGTTTAGTGTTTTGAGTTGAGGGGGTGCGAGCAAAAAAGGGGGGAATTAACCAGCAAAAGAAAAAAGGAAGGAAAAAAAAACAGGCCCCCGAAAAAGACTCTTCTATCCTGCAGGATCACGATGGCCCCGGTGGTCAGATCTGTGCCTCGGCAGCGGGACGATAATCCATCAGAAATAAAAGGTAAGATCCGAGCTGCCCTTCATCTGGGTTCTAAAAGAAGTGGGGGGAAAAAAATTGTTGCAGATACGCGGGCGGTGCTGGTGGATTCGGGCTGAAAAGTTTCTCTCGGTAACCCCCTTCTCTCTCAACGCTTCTCCGGCTTCTATCACACTGCTACCGTCCCCTGGCTTGAGCTCATATTAGCAAAAAAAAGAGCCGCTTCTTCGTCTCCCTGTCGGACTCCCCTACTACAAGGCGTTCATGACTATTAATATCACGAGGAATACTTAATAAGAAGAAAAAGAATAGTCGCGAAATCTGGCGTGAAGCGGAGGACGCAACTCAAGGCAGGAGTCGACGCTTAAATGACGTCCATTGAAAGGAGGAATCGGTATATCTAATCAGAGATGGGGAGTGAGAGAGGACGAGAGAGAGAGAGAGTGTGGAGGGGAGGGGAGAAGGGAGAAAAAAAAAAGGGGGGACTCGCCCCCCGGGGGGGAAAGAGAGGGGGGGGGGGGGGGGGGGGGGGGGGGGGGGGGGGCGTTTGAAAACAGTCCCAGGGCCAAAAAGCGCTAAAGTGAAAGAAAGACTAGGAATGAAGGGGAGGTGGACCACAGACAGGAGAAGCCAGGGAAGGGAAATAATGTGCACCTCTGAACTGGGTGAAAATCCAACAGACGACGCCACGAGCTCTGCGACCGGCTCGCGCGCACCGCCTGTCCCTTTGTTTTCCGCCTCAGACTCCGACAGAGAGCTGTCCTCCATGGCTCGCTTTTTTTCCAAATTAATCCACCGATTCCTCCTCGACTCCGCGCCCCCCCCCAAAAAAAGCCACGCGGTAAACGTTAACTTTAAACCGGAAAGATGAGGGGAAAATAATAATAATAAAAGAATAAAAATGGAAGAAAAAAAATGTCTACACGGGGCTCGCTGGATTCCAGCGCTCCAACGAACTTTTACGCGCGACTTCTAAAGCTCCACTCCCTTCCTGCCAAAGCACGCGCTTAAAAAAAAAAATTAACACTGGGCCATCACCGGATTTCAAATGCAAATGATACGATACATTCAAGGTCTTTTTTTTTTTTTTTTGGTTTGTTTTGCTGCGATACTGGGAAATATTTGCGCTAAATACGCAAAGAATCAGCATAACAAAAAAACGAGGAGGCGCCCTTGTGTTTTTCTGTCTTCCAGCTCGGCCGCCGGTCCCTGTCCTCACAACAGACGCGGGTGAAAAAACACGTCCGACTGGCTCCTCCACTCCCCAAACAAGCTTTTGATTTTTTTTTTTTTTACTGCGAAACTTCATCTCTGTCCACAACACAACACATCCAGCCTAGCACACTCCACACGTACGTACACGCAGGCTGCTCACACACAAAAAAACTAAAAATAATTCAACGGCTTGGATTGAAAGGCTAATAAAAATAAAAAAGGTGCATGTGCGTAAAGCTGGGACGTGTCAGCGCTTCCACTGCTCCAAAAACGCTTATTCTAATTTAATGCATGGTAAGTCCATTTTTTAATTTGCCCAAGTGCCTTTTTTAAAAGTTATGTCACAAATTTTTTTAGATTTTTTTTTTTTTAAAGGGAAAATAAGTGCTGTTTTAATTGTATTCATTCAATTAAAAGTTAAATATATAAGAATTTAATACCAGCCGAAGCAACCAAAATCAACCAGAAATTTGTATTATTAGAATTATTATTTTCATCATTAATATTATTATTACGCATCAATGGAGATGTCAATATATTTTAAATGAATGAATGCCATTGGAGGAATCCTGCTCCTGTTTTAGTCCACGCGTCCAGCTGTCAGAATGTGGTCAAAATAATACACCGCATCCTCAAAAATAATTATCTTGCCATGCACTTTAAAAATAAAAAAAAAGTACAATAAAAAAAAATCAAATCAATGCAAAAAAAAAAAGCACCTTACCTCGCAGTCTTCATATTTAATGTTATCAGTTAATTTCCAAAGCATTTTCATGAGTTGTTGGGGCGGCTATTGAGTGTGGGTATCGCCTTATAGTCTTTAGTTTTCACGCAGTGAATTGTGCTCTCCGCTCAGGAGGAAAGGGGAAGGAAAAAAAAAACGACTTTTATTGAAGCTGTGGGCTGCTGTCTGTCTCGCGCTCTGAGGTCTCCCTCTAATGGTGGAAGTGGAGGGCTGGAGCAGCTCTGTAATAACACTGGCACAGGGCCTCATTAGCATATCAACAGCCGTTTTGATTTCCCCCCCCCCCCCCCCCCCCCCCCCCCCCCCCCAATCTGCTCACACAACAGCAGTGGACGGCGCACAGGTAAAAAACTTAAAGAAGCTACACATGTTTATTATCGCTACTGTTCAGTGAGGTGTGTTTGTTTGTGGAGGGGAGGGGCGTGTGTGTGTGTGTGTGTGTGTGTACGCTCGTGCATGGGGATGTGGGGGGGGGTGGGGGGGGGACCTGCATACACCTGGGGCGGTTTTTTGGTTCGTCCTCCCTCGCGCATCGTGCCTCATTTGGAAATATTCTTTAAACAAAGTTGTGAAACAATTTGCATTTGTCGACCGTCAAACTTTTTTCTTCCTGGTATAGCCATCATTTTTTTTTTCATTTTTGGAGGGGGGTTGTTTTCTTTAGTTTTTTCTTAATCCTCCAAAATTTGCTGTAAAACAGCGCGTACCCCGCCACGCACTTTGTCTCCAACCTTGACCCCCCCTCCTCCTCCATTTTTTTAAACTCCAAAAGAGTTGTTTTAATCCCATTGAGATCGGAGACCTTCAGAGGCTATTCTTTTAATGTTATGGTAAAAAGGTGAGCTATTCGAAACGGCTCTACAGGTCCATTGAGGACCCGTAAGGTAGCAGAGTTAGGGATGGGGGGGGAATGTAAATAATTAACACAACAACATGGCCTTGTTTCATTTGAATGGGCGGGCTCTGCCCTGTCGCCGGTCGAGCCCTCACCTCAGCAGGTCGTGGGTCAGCAGACAGGTCGCCTGCTCCTTTCAGGCGTTGGCCTTTTTTTTTTTTGTTGTTGGTAAAAACCCGGATTACCATTTTTGGTGGAGCACAGGTAGTTGTTATTAATGGACGATGAAAGTGGCTGCTAGTGTTTCTTTTTTTTCTCTTTTTTTTAATAGGAGATGTGGCCTGGTTGTCTGTCAGTGATTTCTTTCCCCCCCTTCTTTCTTATTTAATCCCCCCCACCATACGAGTGAAATTCAAGTGTTTTGTTTTGTATCTTAAATCCCCCTATTCCACCACACCTCTCAAAACAAGGCCAGATTCCCACCGACACTCAGACAAATCTGCAGAGCAAGACTACAGAAAGTAAAGGGCTCCTTTCAGAAGGAGAAAAAGTTCAATTTTCCCCTCAAAAAAAGATGAAGCAGCGCGATTTTTGGAGCTAAAGCTGTATTTAGTCTTTATACTCTGACAAAACCAAACAAGCCCCCCTCACACCACCACCACCACCACCTAAACACACATTTTCTGCTTTATGATACAACACATCTAGGATAAACACTGGCTCTTAAAAAATGCGCACAGCCCCTCAGAGCGCGCACGACGTGTCCTCTGATTTCCAGCGCAAACAGAAAAACAAACAAATGATGAGCGGTGTGACATTTACCGGCTCTAAAATATATTTGAAACGCTCATATGATCCCGTCTGTTCAAATCTGCGCCCCCTTCCAGTGTGAGGCATGCCTCCTCACAGAGAACAGTCTCACAGTGGAGCCTCGTGCCACAACAAGTCAACACTTTTGACAGTTTTCATGGATTTTCGCGCAGCGGTCTTTGTCTTAAAGTAATCAGCACATACCTGCCATTCCCCCATTTTTCCCATAATTGACATTCTGTGTCTTCTGCTGCCTTTTTTGCGGGTGTTTGTTTTGGAGCTGCTCCTTGTCTATCTCATTGAGCCAGAGTAAACCTTCACTTGGTATACCTAGACCGGATCGCCTCACCTGGCCATAAAAAAATGGTGCGGGGGGCCACCTGGCGACGCATGCGCACTGGGCCGGGTGTGGACAAGAAAAAAGCTCCAAGTGCCCCGGGAGAAAAGTGAAAAGGGATAAGTTAAAGCTCTCACACTTTATTATCATCAAAAACAGCAGCCTTTTGTCAAAAAAAACAAATTAAAAGGTGCGCTGCTCTAAATCTGAACAGCCACTGCTATAAAAATGGCTCATCAACAATTAACACTGTTTTTCAGAAAGAGAGGAATCACGTGATTCCCTTTTATTTATAGATATGATTTATTAATGACTATTGCTCAACGGGGATAAGCCCCATCCAGAGTGTATTGGAGAGCAAGGCAACGAAAAGGTGTAATAGATTATGTTAATTTCGCTTGTATCTTCAACTGAAATTAAAAGGAAAAAGCCAACATCGATCAATTTGGAGTCATTTAATTTAAACTTTACCTCTGCTTTTTTATCCCCTCCCCATTTGACCAGTCTTGGTAAAAGAAAAACATGAATTTTCTCTGCAAATTAAAGTGTGTCAAGTTAAAATATTGTAGGTTAATTGCCTGGATCAATTAGCACATAAGCCACCCTGCTATGGTCAGTATTTATTTATCTACTGTTTATTTCTAATGCATATGTAGACCCCCCCCCCCCCGGGGGGCATAGAGAGAATGAGCTCTGATTGTCACACACACCGTCGAGCAACACGTGCGCTCACATGAGTGATAATGGTCAAAGCTTCTCAGTCCCCCTCCCCCACCACCACCTTTTTTTCACTTCTTGAAAAGCCACCTTTTCTTCTTTGAAGTTCTTTAAGAAGCGCAACCTGTCTGGAAACTGGACGCACAGATACTGGAAAGCGTTTCTGATCCCATATCCACCAGACCTATATATTCATATAACTTACTGGAGGTCTTTCTATGTAAATATTGGACCAACCTTTTAGTGGGTATGGGGGGAAAAAACCTTTGTTATAATAGATCTGTAGATTTAAACCCACCACCCCCTTTTTTTTATTTTTTATTTTGCAGTTGCATAATTCCGCACGGAGATTAAAGATTTTTTTTTGTGTGGCGTTAATATTTAAAACAATCCTGCATGTTTGACTTCAAAGGGGAGCGCGCGCTTTAACTGCGCACACAATACCTGCAGCTATATAGACCTGGACAAAGGAGTAGACACTGTGAAAGGGGGTGGTGGGGGTCAGAAATATTGTTTGGGGCTCCGCGTAAGGGAGGAGTGAGTTCTGAAGCGGAGTTGGTTCCTCTCGGAGTCTCTTTTGAATCGCCCTCCTCTCTTTGCAGGTCTGGGGCTCCACCTGAACGCCGGGCGGGCCTCAGGCGACTGTTTCCAACCGCCAACCGGGTCTAATGAAGGCCGGCCACGGCTGCGCCTCCAGCCACGTGTGGGGGAGACGCATCAATATTAGCAGGATTGTAGTACCATCATTATTACCAATATTAGAAGTGCTAGTCGATTCCCACAGTATTTTTTTACATTGTTAAATACAGATGTGTGGCATATGTGTGCAGGATAACAGGGGGAAAAAACGTATGCCTATAATTTATTAGAATTTAAAAAATATATATTATTATAGTCCTATTTCTTGGGCTCTGTCGTTGGTAAAAACGTCTTCCATGCTGCTGTCGGAACGTCTGTCCGGTGAAGACAGGACCCGCTCCACATCAAAACCCTCATGTGGTGACGGCTCTGTGAGAGGAGTCTTATAGATCCATTGTATCAAACAGGGCTCGCCGAGGGAAATAAATGGTGCTCTAGCGCCACCTTGCTTCAGAAGATGAGCGAGCGACGCAGACTGGAGAAGCCTCATAATTGAAAGCAAATAAGCATACAGAGCAGAGAGACTCACAAAACTGAACAAAAACAAAAACAAAACAAAAACGACCCCATGATGTTTCGGAGCTATGATGAATGCGTTTTTAATTATAATTAATGAAAAAAATAAATATATTATAAGAGGAAATGGTATGGTGATAAAAAATGAATAATATTTCTTTTTAAATCCCAATTTAGGCACTTTTTTCCTTTCAATTTCATGTTCTTTCCATATGGTTCTAATTTTTTTTCATTTCCCGTTTTATATTTATATTCCAAATAAAAATAGTCGCCTATATTTGGCTATTTGGGAAAGTTCCAAATAGATGTAGCAAGTCTTTTGACGGCTTGTAGATGGCCTTTGGTACGTTTAAGAATCCTTTAATCCTTTGGTGTCACCATGTGGCCATGCGGTGGATTGCTGTCTAGGACTAGCCAAGGTCCAGATCTAAAGGAAAAACAAAGGGCAGGGTTTTGAAGTTGTTATGCTTTCAGGGGTCCTCTGAAACTAATTTAAACTTAACTTGAGAGCATGGTTTTATTTACAAGTTTCTCCTGCACTGGGTTTGTAGTTGTAGATGTTAACTCTTTATGTTTCTACCGTCCAGACTGGTACTTGAACGCACCATCTCGCTCCTAGAATTGCAGCCTACATTTCCCATCAGCCACCTAACGGCGTTTACGGTGTACCATTCATTTGTGCACGGTGTACAACAAGCTGCGGGTTGTCAGTTGCAGAGGACAAACAGAAAACTTAAGGTTGTATGTCGTTTTACTACCTTTTTTTCAAGCGTCTCGCGCTCGGCACGTTAGGTTTCCGCTTCGGATTTAAACTTTGTCTCACGGCTAATTGGGCTTTTTAGCCTGGGGCTCCGGCAAAGTTGTGTAAGGTTACTGTGCGCGTGTTGTAACGGCGATGCTAGTCAAGGCTGCTGGGCTCCGTCCAGGTTCGCCTTATCTCTTCAGCCAGACACGCAAACACACGCGTGTTTTTCACCCACAAAGTAAATGTTTTCACATCAAAAGCGGCGTCACGTAGGCCAGGATGCTCTCTCATGTGCTTTTCGTCCACATATTTTTCTGTAACGGCTCCATTTTACAGGAGCCAGACAGTATCTTAAGTAATTTTGACCATGTAAGTAGCATTAGACTCCAACTGAAAGAAGTTGCTGTGTTTTTATTTTTTCTTACCGAACCCAATGTGGTCCTGACAGGTGTGCAACATGTCCGTGGACTGGGTAGGATACGGGTACGCCACCCTCATCGCGTCCGGAGGAGTCATTGGCTACGCTAAAGCAGGTCAGTTAGCATTGGCTGCTTAATGTTGACCGAATGGGGTCATTTCCTGTCGGACAATAAGTCCACTTTAAACCAGACGTCACTCTCTCACACACCTACGTATTTGTCATTTGGTATTAATCTGTCTGGGAGGGAAATCCGTCACACTCATGTTGACATCAAGAAAAAAAACCCTAAAAATACTATTTTGGAGTTCCATCTTTGTTTCTATTGTTTTTTTTGTTTTTTAAATGAAGTCCTGATTTTCATTAACTTGAAGAAAAGCTTCAGAAGTTGTAGTCTTATTGATATTGATTTCTATGTGACTTTCATGTGAGTATGTGGCAAAAATACTTGGTTACACAAGTTTTTGTTTCTTTTATTTTTCTTTTGGTGGCTGTTTGTAAAATAAAAATGCACCCGAGGACTATCACATTAATCAAATACACACTAATTTCCATTCTTAGAATGATCACAATACAAAAGTTGCCAAATTTGGAGGATCATTTTAGTGGACATAGCTGTTTATTGGATTTCCCTGTCAGCCTTATGGACATCAGGTGTATGTGTTTGGTCTCCTGTATCTTTTCACGTCTTTCTCCTTGTTCCTCTCCCTCAGGAAGTGTCCCCTCCCTTGCTGCTGGTCTTCTTTTTGGTGGCCTTGCAGGTTTTGGTGCCTACCAGATCTCCAATGACCCAAAAAACATTTGGGTGTCTTTAGGTTGGTAAAAGTAGAATGTTTTGCCTTCAACGTCTGCAGTCAAATGCTCATCCTCTGTGAACCAGTGCGTGTAAACCCTCTGACAAAGCAGAGGATTTTGAAAACCTTTTCTTTTTTAACTGACCCCCTTTGCTGACATTGGCCTCCATGTTCTTTGTGTCAGCGACATCCGGAGTCTTAACTGGTGTCATGGGAAAGAGGTTCTACGGGTCGAGGAAGCTCATGCCAGCTGGTTTGATGGCGGGCGCCAGGTCTGGTATTCATCACGTTCCAATAATTAGATGAATAAGAGTTACTTCTCAAAAGTAGGATATGGGATATGATTTTCAGTGGACTTTAACTGACGTTTAGCTATTTTTTTGCTCTGCTGTCGTGTTTTTGAGTGTGGGAAACTATGCTAACATAATCATCTGGTTCCAGCCTTCTGATGGTGGGGAAGCTGAGCTTGGCACTGCTCCAGAAACCTGCAGAGTCCTCATGAGGGGAAGATGCTGAAAACCTCTAAGTGTTCTGTTCCCATCGCTTGGATGGATTTTGTGCTTCAAGGAGGACTTGTTTAGTCATTTGCTATCGTTTTGTGAAAAGTATGTATAACTGATCATGAAATATATTGTTTATATACACAGAGAATGGCTGTCATGCTGTTTCTTAATGAAGACACTGTGGACTTCTATGCGTTTATTAGTATAAAATTATTACAAAAAAAAATCCTTATCCAGTGCACGTACAAAGGTTTGTGCATTCTTCGCAGCACCGATCATTTAAATGTGCGCTAACTGCATCATGAAATGGAAAGCGGAATGAATTCACCACTGCAGAGTCTACTGATAAAACACTATTTACATGGTGCCATGGAAAGTTTAATAATACTTTACAACAAAAGGAGCGTTTTACAAAGCAAACTTAAAAATTAAAAAAAGAAAGTCGACTGCTTTTTTTGCATTTAATTCCTGCCCAGCGTGACGGAGAACTAAGAGTGGAATTGGCTGGCACCGGATCCAGGTCCGGATCGCGGTGGACTTGTCATGCAGACCGCTCCGGTCTTGGCAACCGTCACTTTCAACGTGTAGATGGAGGTTTTCCTCGTTAGAAAACATGGATCACGGAGGACTCAAAAAAAAAACTTGGGACACCTACGGCGGAGCTGTGTTGCAGCGGCTTCTCTCAGCTACCGATTTCCTCCGTATTTGGACGTCCAGTCCACCCGGCCGTGAACGGGCTGCGCGGCGGGGGCTCTGCTCAGGAGGTTCCCGGTGGTCTTCCCGAATGCGGAGTAGCTGCTCCCCTTCACCTGAGTCCTGTCCGCCCTCCTCCTCCAGCCTTCGTAATCTAGAGGAACAAGCCGGCAGTTCATGTTAAGTTACAGCTGTGAAACAAGTCACATGTCTGTTAGATAAAAAGCCCCTGTAATATTCAGGCTTTTCACAAATGACTGCACTGAAAACAGTGGTTATCCACAACAAAATCAAAAAAAGAGGAAAAACAAGATGAACAAGTACATAATCCGAGCTATATTAAAATGGCAATACCTTCACCAGATTCACTCTGTGCCGAGCTGGATATAGGCTTGAGTTTTGCAGATTTAGTCCTGTCTTTTTTATTATCAGGAGAAGAAGAAAGGTGGACTGAAACAGTGAAGAAAAAGGGAGAAATGTAGGTTGTTTGAACAGAATTATGATAGAAACTATAGAAGCAAAAGGGAGGAAACAGCTCGGTATTTTTACTCCATCAAAATCAGAGAGACAGAGCATCTTGTGAAGAGACAGGAGCAGCTAATTATTTCTCTTCCACAGAGAAGGGTAAGAAATAATGCTTTGGCTTATGTATAGAGTTATACAAATAACAGGTCCTTACTGGAGTGCTGGCCAGCCAGAGGGGCAAGCTGGATTCTCTGTCCCACCGAGCCGACCTCTTTCTTTTGGAAAGAAGGAATATAACCACTGGAGAGGTTGTATTTGGTGCTTATGAAGTTCCCTTTAAGAGAATAAACACACATATCAAAGGTTTGCACTTTTTTCTGTGATGGTTTTCGGACAACACAGAGCATCCTGAGCAGCACTCAGACGGTCATTAGAACACTTAGTGAAAAGCCTCATTGATCCCAAATGCCCTTCGTTTAAGTTGATGCGTTTGTTTACCAGCTGCAGATGTTGCTTGACTTCTAACTGTCGATAAAAAGTGAAGGCATATGATAGAAATACCTTTGGAAAGATCAATTTTCTCCAGAATTCTTTCTTTGACAACACTTTTCTCGGGTGTGCTATCCACAGATTTAGTAGTATTCTCTTCTAAATTCACATCCAAAGAGTGGAGATGGAGGAGACGTGCATGCAGTCAGAGAAAAAGGAAGAAAAGGAAAACGTATGAAAAGTGGGAAAAGAAAAATTCACATAGAGCACAAATATAGAGAAAAAAGGGCCAACACGTGTTTTTTTTATTTCTTTTTTTAAACACGCTGCAAACTATGATAGTAAATAACAGGCGAATTGTAAAAAAGTAAACACTGCTATAGAAATGCAGGGAAGTGGAACAAATGAACAGGGGAGTGGAGTTAAGGGTCATTTAAGGAACATTTGATCTTCAACAGACGGACTTAATCTCATGAATAGATAATGAAATGGAGAGTCAAGGTGAAAGGAAGAGTCAGACAAAGAGGCGAGCGCACATTGTGAGTCTGCCCACACGAGAAATGATTTATGGATCTCTTTTGTAAGTGAGGCTGCAGATATTTGGGCTCCTTCCTGACGCTTCTTTGTCCATGGATCCATAACTGCTGAGCAGGACCCACCTGCTGTACCATTGGCATTTTATGGCTTTGTGGCACAAAGAGATCGTTTTTTCATTTTCTAAAGGCTCAAAAAACTTGGCAGTTAAAAGAGGTTTGCTGCCCCAGGCCAAATGTCAGAGATCTTTTTGTTTTGTTTTTCCCATAGGGTTGATCCCAAACTATAACAAAAGCGGGACCTATACTGTTAAATATCTCATCTGCTTTTAACACCTCTCATTGCACAGCGGCGGCCGTTAGTTACCTGCGTTGGCCCTGGTGACGGTTAATCCTCCTCCGATAGGGCCGAGCAGCTTATTTCCCGTGTTTGAGGAGTTCTCCCAAAGGTCCCGGAGCGTCATGCTACTCATGTCTTTATCTCCGGAGGTCTGATTCTTGCCAATCAAGCCTTAAAGCAACAAATACAATGTGAGTAAAGCTGTTTAAGAAGGAAAATCTAGACGACCAATAACGGCAATAATTCCCTCGATTAAAATAACAGAAAGGTGAGGTCATTTCACCTGGTAGATAACGTGATTGGCTGAGATAGTGCTGCCTGGCTGCAGATCCAGGAAGACTGGGCTCCGTTTGGCCAACCTTGACATTGTTGGGGAGTTTTGTAACAGTGCTGAAGGAATATAGAGGCTTTTGCTCCTTGGGCCTGTAAACAGGACGCAGACTTTAGGTGCACTTCTGATGGCGCTGTATAGCTTTCAAATAAACCAAAGGCCTCGCACATTGGCCGCTCCTGTAACGGCATTCCTGAACTTACTGGGGACAACGCTCGGCGGGGCCGTCCTCCTCCTCTGCGTTCCCCAGACTGGGCTTCTTGGAGTTGGAGGCGGCGGTTTCTGACTGGTCGGATTCCTCCCAGCTGTCCGAGGTCTTGGCTACCGTCTGTCCCCAGCGCCGACGTCCGTTTTTCTGCGTCCCCGTCCCACCGCCTACGACGCTGTTCTCATTTCCCAGAGGCGCGGCCTTCTGCAGAAAAAAACGACACGTTGGGACTGTGGTACTCTGGTACAGACGGTTTATGAGGACATTGTCGGTCTGGACGGTAAGCTTTCATCTCATCCATCTCTCTTTCAAAAGCAAAGCACTCACTGCATGGCTGAGGCTTCCCGGTTTACTGTCCACCTGAGGCAGCGGGATCTGCTGAAGAGGCTGGTGCTGCTGGTGGCCTTTATAGGAGCTTGTGGAGCCTTTGGACTCGGAGGAAAGCTGCTGTGGATCTGCCTTGGACTCGGAGATCTGCTTTTGAACCGTCGGCCTGCTCTGAGACTTCTTCACCTCTTGGCTCTGAGGACGAGACCCCAGGATCTGGCCTACCTGGAAGTAAGGGTAACGGAGGGCCTAGGCAAGGAAGGGAGACGGGAGGGAATTAGATTGCCTATTATCTTCTAATTATTCAATAAAAAATTTGAAAAAATGTATTTGTTAAACGAGAAATCATATAAAGCTAATATAATTTTGTACCTTTAAATAATACATCTTTACAGTTTCAAATGTCAACAGGAGATTTTTTCACTGAAAATGGAAAATCACTGTCACTGTTTCCCTCTGGGAAGGGTTTTTACCTCATCAAGGCACACAAAGTAATTAAGCTGTCTCATCTGTGTATAAATTGTCAGTGGGCACCTCCGTGGATACAACGCTGTTTTTTAGGTGCAACACATGGAACGACTCTTGCAAACCTGAAGCGTTTTGCATGTTGTGTCAGAGGGACAGAAGTATGGGTAATCCCACCTAAAATGTCAGGGATTTGGGAACTCTGGTGATCTTTATATATCTGACAAACAGATGCTGTGCAGCTTCGAGCAAGCGATGCACAAAAATGGAAACTCCTACTCTGAGGACTGCTACGTCAGCTTGGGTTTAAATTTAACACGTGTCCCAATACGTCTTTGGGAGGGTTACAGCCTGATCTGCAAGGAGCAAAGGATCCCTTGATGAGCTCAAGTTTAACCCTGAAGAATTTAGTTTGACGTCCAGCCATGTTGATGCACTTATAGTAATATAATAGCATCTGATTGGACATGAAATACAAATGCCAGTTTTAACGCAACCATAAAAACTCCTTATGGCACATCAGTCCTGCATACCTGTACGGCGGTTGGCCTTTTTTTGGGGTCCCACTGCATCAGGTCCCTCATCAGTGCAATCGCCTCGTTGCTGGCATTTGGGATGAGGGTCTTAAGGTGGGTGGGCACACATTGGGGAAAGCGGAAGTTCATAGCAGATGCCAACTGATAACCCTCCGGCCAATCCATCTAATTGTGAGCAACAATGAAGTGATTACATGCGCATTCACACACCTATTTAAAGGATTTACACCTGAGGGGGGAATATCGAAGTCTTCCACCATTGTCTGCTCACCTTTTTAACAGTTCCCAGAACTTGGCAGATCTTAAAGATTTCATCCACTTCGCTGTTTCCAGGGAAAAGCGGTCTGAGTGTGTAGAGCTCAGCCATGATGCAACCCACAGCCCAAAGGTCAATCGGAGAGCTGTAGGTAGATGACCTCAGCAGAACTTCAGGAGCTCTGTACCTGGACACGGAACAATCAATACCACAAAAACAAATCAATTTAAAAAGAAAAAAAAAGCTGGGTGTGTATCCTGCATTCCCTTATAAATAAAACCAAAGTGGAGAAAATTCCTCTTACCATCTAGTTGAGACATAGTCTGTGTACGGGGGTTTGGAGCGGATCTCTCTGGCCAGTCCAAAATCTGCTATTTTGACCAGCTCTGGACCCATGCACAAGAGATTCTCCGGCTTCATGTCTCGATGAAAGAAACCTGGACAAATGATTATATGGAGCAATCAGTCAACTTCCAAAGGACTCCACTCAAACTTTAACCTCACCAAGCTGCTCTACACAAGTGTTTTATTTGTAATAATAGTCCAAGCCAAACTAAATAATGCATCGCTCAGTTATTTTGAAGAAAGGCCCAAAGGATTGATATCTTTGATATGATCTTTGGGCAGGCCCCTAAGGAATAAATCTTAAGAAAAATAAATCAATAATTACACATCATGGCTATGGACATGTTCATATACATTTGACTAAAACTAAATCCAAGCCTAAACACTAAAGGCCATGCTACTTACAGGGAGAGCAAATAAATGACAGAGTGAGGCCCCTTACCATGCTTATGTACAAAAGCCAACCCAGACAGCACTTGAAACATGATGTTCCTAATTTCATTCTCTGAGAACATCTTATTCTCTCTGACAGTACAAAAGAAAACAGACAGAGAAGGAAGGGAGGATGAAAGATAAATGAAAGTCAAGTGTCAAGAAAAATAGTAGCCAGGAAAAAAAAAGAAGAGAAATGTGCGTTTTGGATGTGTCGACACACCCATTCATCACACAGAAATAACACAGACCTGAGAGTTAGACAACAAAGCCACTATGGAGGGTTCACATGCTACAAGAATTTGCTGAATGTTCAACCAGTCTCATACTTCTGATCTCTGACGGCATTACTTTATGTAACTTGGCTTTACGGAGTAGGTTTGCTTGGGGGATTTTGATCTTAAACGGGGTCATTAGTTTCCCATTATTGATGTTCAGTGAATCTTGTAGAATGAAACCACCCTCATAGGCATGCAAGCATAAACCAAGAACTGTACACCTACCATGTTTGTGAATAAATGACAGCCCTTGTAAAATCTGAAAGCTTATGTTTCTTATCACTGATTCAGGAAACATTTTTTTTCTGTAAACATAAAATCAACGGAAGTCTCATGAGCAACTAATGACAGCATTGTGACATAAGACAGCATTCTTGTAAAACACCGGCCCAGGTGTGCTTTGGAAGTCTTCACACCTGGGAGTTTCCACACTAGCAAAAACATCGAGGCTTCCTTATGAGAGGGTGTTTGGCAACCACTGAATGGATGATGTGCTAAATATTCCACTGGAGACCGGTGGATTTCATCATATTAAAACTGTAACTACTATATTAATAAATGCCTTTAGCTTCCAATTAGCCAGCGCAGGTTTGTGCTAGAGCTCGTGAGAAAATGACATCATAATGCTGAGTTTTAAACGTTTTACCTGTCCTTCATGAGCTGGTACAGGTTCTCCTTCATGTACTCAAAGACAAAGTAGAGGTGATCGTTTTCTCTGATAACCTCTTTTAGTTTCACCACGTTGGCATGGTTCAGCTTCTTCAGTGACTGTAAAGAAAAGAACATTTGGAAGGTGGGTAAAAAACTAAGCTTTTATGTGGTAACTACCCATAAATATCACCATCCCTACCTTCACTTCTCTTAGGTTCATGCATTCTTCCCATGAGTAGAACTTTCTCTTCATCCTGAGAGGGACATTGAAAACGTAAAGGAAAGTATGAATCCAATATGCTTATACACAATGGGTAAAGGAAGATTTTGTTGCAGGCTTCATAGTTCATACACAATATGCAGCGCAGGGCCATCATCGTCTTTACAAATTTCCTTTATGTGACCCCATCAATTATTCAGCTCTTTTAAGGTGTGTCCAGTTTCAAGTTCTGCTAAAACAGAAGGAAATGGCCCAAGCATTTTACTCTGATCGAGGTAGTTTTTTTTAACCACTCATTTTTCTTACTTGTTGATCCACATTTTGATTTGCTCGACATTACCATTCCCCCACAAACTGTGTGGATGAGCTCAGCACAGATGCCGGCCCTTGCGTATCCTCACCCTCCCTCTGGAATTACATAAGAGCTACAGAACGAGCAGGTATCCTTTGCTCCTTATCTCTTCCACGGTGTCAGCAACCCGACACACCCCCACTACTTTCACTGCCTTTTACCGTCACCACATGTATTATCTTGCATGGTAACCAAATGATCAACAAGTGAACTCGTGTATTATTGAGCACAGCGGAGGGTTTGCAGAAACAAAGGAAGAGAAGCTGCCTTGTTTGCCCCCTCCCCTGACAACAGAAAACTTTACGTGGCCGGGCCAGGCAGTGCCATGAGCTTATTCTTCTTTTTATGTAGTTTACGGGCTGGGACACTGGGACGGATTTCAACGTAGGATAAAATAGTTTTGACATAAGTGAACTCACAGTATTATTTAGCATGATATAAGTCTTCTACAGATACTCTCAGAGTGGTATGTCAGTATATTACAGGCCTCAGAGGGAGATCAAACTTGAACATAATGTGTATATAAATCATCAGCTCACCTTTTGATTGCTACAAGTTCTCCAGACTCGTTGCTTCTCCCCATCAGCACACTCCCATAGGTGCCATCGCCTAGCTGCCTCAGGGTGGTGTAGCGATTCATCATCCTCAGATTGGTATCATCAGCTTTTTAACCTCCTTCAAGCATGAGATGCGCTCCGTAAACACTGTGCCGTCCTCGCCAACGGATGCCTTGCTTTCCACGAGCCCGGTCTCCAAAAGTGCTTTTCCCACGAGGGGGAAGCTCAAATCCCGGTCAGCCGCTGGGTTTTTACAGATGTAGTTGAGCCAGAATTCAACAGATGGCTAAAAAGAGAAGAAAAAAACCCAGTCAAAGACACAAGCATGTCAAATACGCCCGATGACAAAAAAAAAAAAAGTATTCCAATCGTCTTACTTTTCCCCACAAATCTGTACCACAGAGGATTTTAGGAGACCTGAGCACAGAGTGATTCTACTGGAAAATAACTTCCTGTTTTTCCCCTTAGCGAGAAGGATAAGGTGAAGGCCACCTGAGTGTTGTAGGAGGCTCCAACATGAACACCCGAGGGAGATGACATCGCTTGCCTTAGGCAGATTAGGCAAACAGAGATGTTAATAGGATGTTACATCACCGACATGCTTACCGGCATGCACGGCCATCCCCAAGCACCCTGCCCCGCAAGAGGATTTGATTGACGCCATAGGCCACTGTGATCAAACAGTATGTACAGTTAAATAAATCTCCTCGAGGCCTTCTCCCAAACTGCCGGGTCAACAACTCGGACTTTAGAAGTTTACGCTCACACGGTGCGTTTATCTACCAGGATCAAATGCACAGTTACTCGCTGTTCTGTTTTGTAACCAGTTCCTTCAAACATGTTCCCTTTTTTGATAATGCTGAGTTATATTTGCGCATGCTTTATGAAAGGTTTATCAAAAATTATGTCCAGAGTTTCTGAAGGACTGGAAGGCCTCAAAACACAGCTTGGTCACTGGACAAAGCATGAGGATGAACTCCAACCTGTCCCGAAACGTAATGTGAATCAACAAAGTCTGTTTTTTTTCATTTACCCTTCTTCTCAAAGTAAAGAAGGCTTCTTCATTCAGCGTGAGTTAATGCTTTTTAAACTCTCATTTTCATATAGAAAATGTAAGTTTCAGAGGTTTATACTCTTGTAGATTGCAAGCTTTGTGTAAAAATTAGTGAAGCTACATGGTCAATTTTCATAAAAGTTCACAATACTGCGATAAGGTGGTGACTACAAAAGTCTTGAGAGCTCTAGAGATTTCAAATTAATTGGACATTATAGTAATAAATTAAAATAGCAGTTAAGTTCATATTTTGCCAAATTATGAATCACTCCCTTAGTGGAAACAACAGCATAGTTATAGTTATCACAAAAGAAAAGTCTGAATCTTGTGCAGACAATAGAGACAGATGGCATATTTGTTCATTCATACATAGTTTGATATATTATTCAATAAGAGGCACTAAAAGCACATTTGTTCATGTGGTATCAACAGGACTAAAAAAGCTGCTATATACATCAACTTGCCAAACTGGCCTTATGACCCATTTAAAGAATATGTGGTCTTTACATGCACATGCAGAAAATATGATACTTTTGCATTTCAGTTGACGTGTGAATGTTTCTGTATCACTGAGTAGTACATCATTTTACCATTTTCAACTTGTCCGATTGAGCTGTGACCAAATCTATTCAGTCCGATGAGAATGCAAATGCAGGCAAACCAAATATGTAGAGGAAATATAGACTATTTAAAATAAATAAACATTTAAAACAATGTCTGAATCACACACACATATATATATATATATATATATATATATATATATATATATATTTAAAAAAGATATATTTGTCTATATCGTTTTTTATTTTATTTATTTATATACATCTTTCAGAAGTGAAATTAATTATAAGTGAATTTGACTTTCTCAGTATGAACATCAGGTGGAAATCCTGGCCTGAAGAGGACAATAACCAGCCAGAAAACAACTGAGCTGCAGTCTGTCAGAGAGGGGTTTAAAGGGAATTAAGATGCAGGACGGCCACAAGACATTAAGCAGCTAATCAAGGTCAGCTTTACTGAAAACACACACGGACGCTGACCCACACAAAGGCAGAAAACAATAAACCGGAATGAAACTAAACTGAATAAGTACAGGCTAATTATTCCAACAAATATTTTGAACTTTGCTTCCCAAAACCGACTCAGCCGCCCGTGCCTCCACAGCCTGAAACCAAACATTTGACCATCAGCCAGTTCTCCTGGACAACAGCTAAAATACACCTATCATTTATATATAAAGATATATAGCGTCAATTCTTAAGAAGTAGCCTCAAACGTAGCTCATCTCAGAATGACATGTCGGCTTTGACAGTTCAGTTTCTCTGTCATTGTTTTTATCTGTTTGCCTCCTCCTAACTTGTTCCCTCCCTCAGATTTAAACTCACCATTTAGGGGTCTTACTTTTTTCGGCCGTTGGCTGGTTCTGCCGATAGCTCCAGATAAAATACTCGTCGCGTCTAAACCCAGCTCTAGTGATAAAGTGTGTGTGTGTGTTTGTACGCTTGTGTGTGTGTGTGAAAGGGAGTATGTGTGCGTGTGTCCTCTCTCCATGGTAACGTGCACACAAACGCGACGCCGTTTCGAGCTACCTGGTGACGAGTGACTGAGGGTGCCGCAATGCTTTGTGGGGCTTGTTGTCCTGGGAACGTTTGCTGCGATCGGACAGGATTTGTTGTAGCGAAACTAGCGTTCAGACTTTTTACTTCAGTATTGAATTTAGACTGTGCGAGCTTAGTATCATATTTCCCCCAATCTTTCACGTTTTAAAATAGGCAAAAAACAGAATAGTGTTTTCATTTATTTATTTTTCTATTTTTCTAAAATGCATTTTTTATTTCCCCTTTTTTGGTCGTAAAGCAGTTGCTAAACTGAAAGGCTTTTTTTAGCCTGCAAATTTCGTTCTTTGTCTCAAAAACTTTTTTTTTTTAAACATGAAACCCCAGGATAAGGAAACTAAACTGGTGGAGAGGAGCATGGAAACTCCTGCTCTTATCACGGTTCTGTGAACGCATCAGCAGTTCTTATTTTCACCCATAGATGGCGCCACACGATCGCTTTTTGTGACAATTGGCGTCATCCAAAACTGCTCATTAACTTTTAACTGTTTCACAAATTGTGTTTTTTAAATACAAAATTCAGAATATTTTACACTACACAAACCATATATTTAAGCAGTTTTCTAAACGTTGTATCCTATTTAGCCTATCACAATGAACAGTCCATAACTGTTGCACAGCTTTATGCCTAATATTTGACTATTTCGAATATGTAGCTTTCTAGGTAATTGCATCCAGACATTTGACCAATTAAACTTCACGTGTGGTTTCCATCATGCTTTAGTTGGTTATATTGTACGACTTCATCTCTGTGCCGATAAATGAGCTTATCCCAAAGAGCTGATACCAGCTTTACGCGCAGTCATCCGACCGATCTGCGTCAGGATTTGCTGACACCAGATAACGAGACAGCCCGAGCAAATGTCCTAATCTTTCCCTTTTCTGTGCGTCTAGGTGTCCAAGTGTCCTGGGCACGATCCTAACACCAAACACCGACCAGGTTAAGCCAAGAAGCAGGCGGAATGGGCGGGGGTGCAACAAGTGGAAATTCACTCTAAGAGGATTAGTGCGCTCGTTAGCTCCCAGCCCGTCTCATCAGGGATGCCGGGTTTGCTGAGACGCGGCAGTACACCGGAAACCGGGCGAGGAAACGGGTCACACCCCGTTTTAGCGGCCTGTTGAAGACGCAAGAAAATGTGTTGAAATCGTTGCAATCTTCCAAGATGGTCTGTGGTGATTATTGCCGACCGGGAGCGCACGGGAATCCGCCATTGCGCGCGCGTCTTGTACCTGCGGGTGGTTTCGTGGCGGGGTTGTTGGTAAGCAGTTCCTGACATGAAGACCAGACCTGCGGGGATAGGCAACGTCAATGCCGACTGGATGGGCTCTCTCCCTTCCAAGCTCAGTGCCATGCCCCTAAAAAACCTCGCCGTGCCAGGTGAGCAAAGCCCTGAACAGTGTTTGGTTGCCCTGCAGAAGTTTGGACAACTTAGTTTGGCTGTTACAACGACAGGTATTTACTTGTTCTATTGATTCTGTGTAAGAAATGACTCCAGTTAAGTTTTATGTTCTTTCAGGTTGCATGAAAAATCATTTTTATCCACCGTCATGGACAATGCCACATTTTTCGAATTGCCTTATAAATTCTTTACTCGGGGATCTCCATCTTTCTCCTCTAGGCTCCCATGACTCTTTCACTTTCTGGGTGGATGTGCATGCTCCTGTGGGCCCTGACCAGAAGGCTTATGTGAAGTACCTGGCGACCATGTTCAGTGTCTTGGCCAAGAAGGTGATGGTGAAGTGGTCCATGACACAGGTAAAGCTCTCAAATGAGGAAAAACGGGACGTGTGAGGATGCAAACGGCATGCAGATTGTACGGAATAGATGGTTGTGGACTATTTTTGTTTGTTTGTTTGTTTATTTTTGTGATATGATCTGCATTCATAGAACTTGACCTTTAGGGAGCAACTTGATGCAGGAATTCGTTACTTTGATCTCAGGGTGTCCTCCAAACCAGGTGAACCTGGAAATGAGATCTATTTCATCCATGGCCTGTTTGGACACAAGGTAAGTGGAAAAAATATTTTCTTATTGTTAGCACCAGTTTAGATGGCATTATTCATGGAATATCTGTCGTCTTGTTCATTATTTTATTTTATTTTTGCAAATGAGTCAGGTGTTCTAGTAATCTTGAAATATGGGTAAACGTGGCTCCAAATTTTGATGGTCAATTTAGATGTCTTCCCCTATTTTACATTCCCGATGTATGCTCTTTTTCTTATTTGTAAGTGGAGCACCAGAAATGACCCAGTGAAGGGATCAAAGGATGTGGGCTTAGTAGTAAACATCCCTCCTCCGAAATGGGTCACTCTAACTTGGCTTTTATCTGTTCAAATCTATTACAAGGACTGTGTCGGAGGATGGGATTGTGACTGTAAAGTCTAACCCGAGTAAACATACACGTGTTGCTGATAGAGACGCACACTCTGTTGAGAATCAAAGAGCTTAAAAGTTTGATAAACTTGCATTTAACAAGGCATGGTGGGGGCATTTTGTCCTCTGCCTTTCACCAGTGACTCTAAGGTAGCTTTTGCTACAAACTGCATCCATGGACTCATGTGTGTGCATTTCTCATTGTGTACAGCAGTGACAGAATTTCCAAAATGTATCCTACTTTTTCCCCCCTGAAGGTGCGGGACGGCCTGTTGGAAATCAACTCCTTTCTCAGCCGGCACAGGAAAGAGGCAAGACGCACATTTAAAAGATCCCTTTCAAATGGTTTAAAACCTGTAGCTAAACGATTTCGAACCTTTGTTTTTAGATCGTGTTTTTGGACTTCAACCATTACTATGCCATGGATACGGAGCATCACGTGTACCTCATGAAAATGCTCCGGGAAGTGTTCGGCAGCAAGCTGTGCAACAACTGCACGGTGGAGAGCATCACCCTGGACTATCTCTGGGAGAAGAAATACCAGGTGCGGTGGAGTGAACGCCGCTGTGCACGTGTGCAGAACTGCATGCAAACTGTGTGTGAATGAAAGGCATGTAAATTTAAGGCAGGCGGGTGAGCGTGCAGTAGGGGCTCAATGAATGTCAGGCTAATCCCTTTGCCCTTTGACGTTCCTGGGAAGGAATTACGGTGAGTATCATCCCATTAGCTCTCTTTTAATCATCCGACTCGACTTTCTCCTTTCCAAAAGTCTCTTTCTGTGTTCTGTTGTCATTTCTTCCTCCTTCATTCTTTCAGGCAGGTTAATGATTGATTTATTTTTCTCTAACCCACTTTAGTTATTATTCCCAGCATAAGAAACAATCCACAAATGTGAAGAAAAACAGCTCAGTGTTTATGCCAAATAATACAATTATATTGCAGATTGCAAAAATATATTTTTGGGAAAACAGATTATTAAAGAGCATGTTTTAGTCTAAATAGGATCAAGTTCGTTTTAAACAGCATCTAAACATATAACTGTGTGAGTTACTTACCTCACTCGAGCATTTCTGTTGTTTTTACACTAAAACTAGTGTTTTTAAATGTCTTTATTTTCTTTTTCTTTTCTTTTTTTTTGCAAATGCATGAGTACCCTCTGAGACTCTCTAAGACGAGCTGATTAAATCCTTTTTTTCAGTGTCAGTAGTAATAGGTTTATCCTCAATGCTTTGTGTGCTACAATACTACATGTATTCAGCGTAAGCCCAGAAACTAACAGGCCACGTTGGACTATCCTTTTATTCTAAGTACTTCTTTTTGAGGAAAGTACACTAGTTTAGTTTATTATTCTTGACTGGCCCGTGGATGTCAGCCCCTCACAGCTGGACTGAGAATGAACTGCCAGCTGTGTCTTGCAGACAAGGAAAATCATTCAATCTTACGGCTTTTTACTAGCATGTTTTTTTTTCTTTCTGGGGCTTCCAGTAAAGAAAACAGCGCGTTTAGCCTCTAGTTGCAGTGTGTGTTTTCCATCATTGTTGCTCAGGGCTGGAGTTGCTGAATCTTCACTGCAGAGTGGTAAATACTGATGTAGAAACTTTCCCTCTGCACTTGAAAGTCAGATGTTACCAGGGGTCGGTGTTTTTTTTTTTTCGACCAGTGTGTGACTTACCGGTTCAGGTACATGCTAATGTCATGGTTACATAAGGAGAGCACAGCGTGTGGTGCACAAGCGTGTCTCATTTAGGTGGTCATGCCTGTTCTCATGACCCTAATCTGTGACTGGCTTACTTTGCAAATGAGAGAGAGGCCAGAGTAAACTAAGAAGCAGCTGCAGAGGGCAGCCTTTCTCCACTCTTTTAAAGACACTTTAATTTCCCAGCTTTCATTTCAAAAGATGTGTACCATGATGATGTGTCATTAGTTATCATATGTACAACTTTAAATTTGAGTCTGTTCCTAAGCCCTCTGTAATTCAGTTCATTTTAATAACTTTGTATGTTCAGACTGTGGAAAAGACCAAAGTTATTAGCACTTGTATTTTTTCTCTTGTGATTTATTAAATTATTTTGTAATAGACTTATTTATCTTGTATACTATTTAATGTTTGAATTGAAATACAATTTAACTGATCCCCAGTGCGTTTGATATCTTGTGATTTAGCCCCATCTATTCCAGTATTTGCTGAATGTATCTGTAGTTTATGTATTGTGACTTATTAAGTTATATGATATGGCAGGAAGCCAAAGAGTTGGCTATAAAAATATTACTTTGTCAACGAGCTGGCATTGAAGGAACGCTGGTAAAGAAACAAAATATTCAGACTGCCCGTCTGCCCTGGATCAAAGCAGTTTCCCATCATAAGATGCCAAAACTAACTGGATTTGAACTATGTTAAATTTATGGAGTAAATCCACAAAAAAGAAGGCAAAAAAAAAAAAAAAAACTTAACAAACTTGGCCTATTTCAGTAACTGAAAACATTCCTAGGGGTCACACCCTCTCACCTTTAGTTTGAATTCAAGATTTTGAATTGTTTGTTTGTATATAAATCAAGCCCAAGATCAATTTCACCGTAGTTTTCAACCTCCTGGCTTCAACTTTGATAAAAGTTGTTCTCTTCGCAGGTCATCGTGTTCTACCATCATTCTTCAGCCCAAGGCATCCCTGGCATGTGGCCAGGCAATAAGATTCCTGCTCCCTGGGCAAACACTACTGAGCCCAACAAACTTATACAGGTAGGAAGAAAACAACGTAACTTTTTCGGTGTTCGAACCCTTCTTAGAATTATATTTCTGTTCAGGCCATTCCCAGAAAAAAAGTGTATCGTGAGGGAAAATCATTGTGAGTAACCAGTCAACAAGATCTCAAGAGAAAGCAGATAAAGTAGAAAGCCAAGGGACCCAGAGCATAAAAGTAGTTCCAGTAAAGTATGACTAAAAAAGGAAGTTCATGTTTTGCCATGGAAAATCCAAGATATGACTTCAACGGAGTAGAAAAGTGGTGTAAGGACCAGAAGTGACCAAAGAGGTGCATTATGTTGTATTTCCACTGTAAACCATAGGTAAAGTATAACATTTTTGTTTTACTGGGCTCTGATCTAATTTTTCTTAAAGATCTCTTGCTTAAAATGACTTAATGGGTTCCAACAAATAAAAAAATAAAAAAATTCAAGGTTAATCCCTTCTTTCCATCTGCTTCTCCAGGCTGTTATGATTCTTTATAGCTCCATTCTCTATCAAACGGTGCCCTCCTTCCACGTTTGCACACTATTCTTACATAACGGTCTTAACTAAAATGACTGACTCCTAAACGCTCTTTCGCTAAGATTTCTCCGTGTCGTCCCTCTCGTCTAGTTCCTTGAAACCACACTGAAAGAAAGGAACAAGCAGGGATCGTTCCACGTCACACAGGCCATCCTCACACCCCGGGTCAACACCGTGGCCAAGGGCCTGCTCTGGGGGCTCCGCAACTACCTGGTGGAGAGGTCAGGAGCCACAGTGATATGCCTAGATTTAACAGGGTGCATTAGTGTGTATTGGGAGAGAGGGGGTAGAGCCTTTATGCAATTTATCAGAATGAAAATGGTGGTTGATTTGCTGCTTCTTGGAGGGATTGCAGTGTGTGTACAGTAGAGGGCGGTATAATAATTTCTGTTAATGATGTAATGTCATTTGCACATCAAAGTGTCTCTGCACATGCCCTGAGAAGACAGAATGATTAGTAGAATTATCACTATATTGAAGTGGTATTCTAAATGTCACACCACTTGGGTGTATTTTTAATCGCATAATAACTCAAAAACTGTATTTCAAAAGTATTAAGTTTCCCAATTTGCACAGAATTGGCTTCTTATCTGCCTAGAGCAACATATCATCTTTCTTCTTTGAGACCTCTTCATGTCTGCATGTATTATCCTCCGTCTCATCGCTGGTTTATTTGACTATGATTGGTTGGATTCCACATCCAAACACCAGAGAATTAAACATGAAAATATGCCAAGTCCAGAATAATAATCTTTTTTTTTATTGTTTTTTTTTTCCCAAATCAACCTCTGAATTACTTTCACGAGTTTCTTCTTGTAGCCCAGGTTAATGTCCTTAAAATAGAATTGACATGCTGGGGGGAAACATATTCTCTATACCCGTACATCTAAGAAAAAAGCTGCCATCCGTACTGAGGCATAAAATTCCCGAAAACGGATACCTTGGCGAGACAGGAGGTGGCCCAGTTTGGCACTTCCAAGGAAACAGAATTGTTTACCACAAGTGAATAAACAGTCGTACTTCCAGGTTTTGTTCTGCCGGTTGGCTGACACATAGTGGACAATTTAGAAGTGATACAGCCGAAGGGTCTGTGCTAAAAGAGCCAGAGCTAAAGTGATTTAAAAAAAAAAGGCCGTTGCCGTTTGCTTTGTGACATGACTTCTTGTGTTGTGTTTGCCAGAAATCTGCCAACCATCATGTCGTGGGTGCAGACTCAAAGGCCGGGCGTGGACGGAGTCAACATCATCACCTCAGACTTTGTAGACCTCACGGACTTTGCCAACATTGTCATCCAGCTTAATAACCTGCTGCTGGCCGAGCACGACCGCAAGGCCAGATGACGCGTGTCCAGACGGTGGTGGTAAACAGGTGTGGGGGAAGGAGCGTTTTTTAGTGACAATGTATCATACTTGATGACTTAATCATGTTCATCATTGGATAAATATATATATATTTTTATATTGTTCACAAGCAGCCCTTCCACTGTAAATCTAAAGCCTTGGTATCTTAAAGGAACTCAGTAGGTTTGTTTGTGATGTATTCTCACAGCCCCAAAGTAAAGTCTGGAATAGTAAGTAAGCTGGAGCTCAGACTCAAGAAAAACCAGGAAAGTCCGACATCCTTTTTTTTTTTTAATCCCCTAATCTTTTTATCGTCTACAGAAAACGGAAGAGTTTTTTTTCTCTTACCGGTGCTGTGGCTGTTTCTGAGGTCCACACACACGGCCCTGTCCAAAGCCATTTTTTACATTTTCCTTGACCTCTTGTGTAACAATAGGAAACAGGTGTGCGTGTAAAAAGGTGGTGTTAATATATTATAGAAGTACATTAAATGTACTGAGATTAAGAGAATGAAAGTTTTCTGATAGATTTTATTCCGAAATCAGGAAATCATGATGGGAAAATGCCCAAAAGGATGGCACGAGCACATGAAACGCCAGGGGGTGTTCACACTTGGACAGTGGGACGCAGTTAGCAATAATGGAAGGAAGATGGGCGGAGATGTGCATGCGGCAGCTTCTCTCGTTATTTTTGGTCCGTCAGTATGTTAAACAAAGTCATGTGCCGGGAGAGAGGAGCCCTCTGTGCCAGGAGCGTCTCAACTCTTTTGGCATTTAATCAGAGCCGCTGACACTGGCACCTTTTTTTTTTTGGGAGGGGGGAGGTGAGAGTATTTCCAGGGAAAGGCCAAAAATGTATGGAACTCTTGCGCCACATTTCCCACAATATGTGCACGCATTCAAATAAACAGCTATGAGTTTTCACCTGTATTTTTGTCATTATAGTTTGTTGGCTTGGATGCAGAAATAGAAACAGAGGAATGTGAAGTCATAATGTGTAGAAGTGCCAGAATATGCGTTTGTGTGTGCTGTATTTAAAAAGCCCACGTCGAGTTCCACGAGATGGAACTCGCATGCTGAATGAAGAAATTGTGTATTGTGCGTGCGTACTCGTGTGCATCTTTGTGTGTTTTGTGATTCAGTGTTTGTGCCTTGCAGGCTAAGTGATTACTATGCATGACATAGACAGTAGCACTGTGACAGTTGCTGTACATTCTTCTGGTCAGGGGAAGGGGAATAGGGGAAAGAGCAGGGACGAAGAAGGCAACAAAAAGCCGAAAAATCAATCCACGACAGCATTCTAATTAGTGTTGAAAATCGTAAGGCCAAAAGGGGAGAAGAAAATTCAATTAGCTTGGCGAAGCATTTTCCCCAGGCAGTCGCTAAACCTTAAATAAAATGTTTTTTTTCTTTCCATATAGCGTTGCCTTTCATTTTCACTCCTTGACTCTTGTGTGAAATCACCCGTCCTGTCCAGGCCACATTGTTGACACGGCCGAGTGTGGTCACCAGGCACTATACGCGAGCACTTTAATTGTGGAGTAATTACACATACCACGGCAGGCAAGTGGGAGAGCAGAGAGCATCAGATTGGACTCGGAGCATTCCTTTGTTGTTTGGATTGGTCCTCTTTTTTTTTTCCTGTCACTATGTCTCCCTTCACTGTATCCCAGTGGGCTTCCCAGGTTATAGAGGAGAAGTCAACAGCACGAGCGAGATGTTTTAAGCCTGACTCGGCCAAGACGGTAAAGTAATAAAAGTGCTTTTGTCTGCGCATGCGTTTGTTTACAAGTCAACAGTTCATCTGCAAATACTTTCCAACCCAAGTAATGCCAGCGTCGACATGTAATCCTTTCTTTGCCCCTTTTGGACACCGCAGTTAAGGATTTGTAACCGACTTCCACTGGGGTCTGGAAGTCCTCCCCTCATCTCCAACTGCAAGTAAAAGAGCCAAAGGACATTTTGCCACATAAATCAGCCGCTCACTTAACTGTGGCCAAATATGGGGGAAGTTTATTGGCAATTTAATAACAGGGATATCATCCAAGTGAGATTTTGGTGCAGTTTACTAGTGTCTTTGGTCACATTTTAGTACTCTAAGAAAGCCATTTGTGTCAACCAAAGATAATGGATTGACATTAGAACAGATTAGTGTCCTGAGTTTCCATTCAATTAGTCTGCTATTTTTGTCACATCGAGCTGTGTTATTGAGGTATAAAACAAATCGATGTGCAATAGTATTTAGCTTTCAGAACCAATAATTGTTGTTCCTGTGTCTGAATAAGGATTTAGTAAATACAGAGAATAAGGACTTAGTAAATACAGAGGAGGACTGGACAAAGAGAGCTGCAACAGGTCACTTCAAACTGGTAGAAATTTGCCTGACTTTATCAGCTATCAGACAGGGAGAGTCACTGTTATTTAATAATGTGCCTTTAGGTTGTTATTAAAAGCATGTGGACTGCCCAGTTCTTAGACACAGAAATAGATTAATCAAAAAGGGATTAAATGAGCCACCAAAACTCTAAAGTGTTTTTCCGCTGTAAGTGTTGGCAATAAGCCGTTTAATAGACGTTGCAACACATTGTAGTACAGTGGAGCAATTCTGTCTTTTAAAGGAAAGGAATTTGCCACAGCTTAGTAGTTATATAAAAAACATCAACCAAGATTTATTGATATAATTTTTTATTGATATTATTTGATTAATGGTTATTTAAAATAGTTTAATAGCAATAGTTTATAACAATAACAATAGTTTTAAAAACAACAACTGAGATTTATTGAAATGAAACGGAGCTCTAGAGAGAAATGTCCCGCTTTCAGAGAGGAGTACCTTTTCCAAAAGTTCCTGCTCAGCCCTCAGGGGTCTCACGGGAATTGTGGAATTCCTTCTCCAGAATGCTGTCAGGCACTCCGCGGCCCTCTCAAGCCAACCGGCTCTTGGATGACGTCATGGAGAGAGCTTGGCAGCTCTCACTGATGCAAGCACCCATGGAGACATAATCGTGTAATAGCTTCTGGAAGCACTTGACAGGAAAGAAAGTTAAAAGGAGGTGCTCCACAATTTCCAAGCGCCCTTCTCCTGGTTGCGTTTAGCTTTGCATCTCCTTTCTTTTTAAGGCTTTCCAAGTGTGCTTCACTAAATGCAATATCAAGAGTCTAAATGAGCTTGAAGCCCCTGTGACATGTGGCTTTAAACACTGACAACACACCGCTGGTATTATGAGCTGAATGCTTTAAAGGATCACAGTAAACCAAAGAAATTCAATCGTGGGTTCAAATGATTCATGGCATGTTTGTTTGTATGTTTGTTTGCTTTGACAATAAAGCCATCTGCACATAGCAGATATCACTGATTGCTAAGAAGCGGCGGAGAAAGTGGAGCAGGCCTTCATGGTTGCTCTCTTCCTGTTTACCCCTAAAGAGATCCGCTCAGTGCCTGGGAGATAAGATAGTCGTGCTCCAGTGAAAAAAAAATCACATATCCGTGTGTTTGTATGTGTCTATGTGCGCGTTTGCAGCCAGACCTCTTTATTCCAAACTTTATTACATCAATGTTTCACAATCTGGGACATCTCCGGCCTGACATTTGCAGCTAACTGATGTGATCACAAACCAAACTCGGCTTGAATTTGGTCGGTGGGCATCTGGTCGCTTGCTTTAACTCACTTCTGTTTGGGTGCAAAAAAAAGAAAAAGAAAACCCCTCCGCCACATGAAACCTGCCTCCATCTGTGAGTGTGGATGGCGCCTAACTCGCGCCTCACGGTGTCTCCAGAATGATGCATGACCGGACACGTAACAGAGAGAATGCCTCAGATGGTGCACATAACTCGTGCAAAGAGCTGCTCGACGGTGCCAGGTCTGAAACATGACGGGGAAACTAAACATGTAAAGTTCACATGCTGATAAAAGCGGGCTGATGAACTGCGTGTTTCTTTTTTTTTTCTCAGCTGACTGGTGTCTGAGTGTCCTGGGGAGTGGCATTCTTTATTGGGTCTGTGTTATACCTGCATTCCTGAGGTCTGCCATTGCTCGGTCATACAAAGGAATTCCTGGTCTCTATAGATTTTCTCAGCTGGATTTGTTTGTTACGCGAAGGTGAACTGCATCAAGAAGAGATTGATGTTGATGGTTGTGTTGTATTCTATGTTGTATTTGATCATTGGTGTGGAGAGCCATGGTTGGCTCTTACCTCTTCATTTACTTGTTATTCAAAATATAAATCTAATGCACAAGATAGATTTAACTTGTTAATATAACGGGTCCCTGCTCACTCCTGAGGTGCTGCTGAAGACTGAAAAACTGGTAATAAAAGAATGAGCCCTCCCTTGGTCCATCAGTATTCAGATATCAGGATATAAAACATGTGAAAGGATTTTTATGAGGACATTCTTTCTCTTTAAACTCTTAGCTTTTTTTTGTCCGAGTGACTTTGATTGACCATAAATCTAACTTTTCAAGTGGGAAAGTAAAAAAAAAATAGAAATAGAAATTGTAAAGTTAAGTTAAGAGTACAGCATGCTCAATTCAGGCTGCATGATGGCTCACCTTCTTTTCAGAATCTTTTTTAAAACCGCATTTAAGAAGCGGGGGTCAACCTGGACGGGCCCCTGGTTTGTGTTTGGGCCACAAAGACATAAAGGGTCAAGACCAAACCGCAACTGTAATCTGAATGATTACTGACTGATAAAGATTTTTGGGGGTCTTAACTGACTCAGAATTGATCTTTAGCAGCCACATCAAAGTCATGATTTTTTTACCACCTCATACAAATCTGCAGAGTCAGAGACCTCACGTCCAGAAACTCGTTCAGGCCTTGATCTCTGGCAGACTCGACAACTGCAATGGGCTTTTAACTGGTCTTCCCAAAAAGAGAAATCAACAGCTTCAGATTGTCCAGAACGCTGTTGCCAGAGTCCTTAAAAGAACCAAAGAAACTGAGGACACATCTCCTGTTTTGTTACCATTTACCAACAGAATAGACTTTAAAGTGTTGGCAGTCAACAAATAACTCAATAATACGGGGCCAGACTATATTACTGATCTTCTTATAGAATACAAGAGGGTCTTTAGGTATCAGTTGGCTTGTAGAACCTCATCAGAGTGAAAATGCAACCGCTCTGCTGTACATAGATGGAATTAAAACTTATTCTTGGTATCAACTCCCAGCTCTGGACACATTGAACTGGAAAGCCTTTCTTTTCTTTATTTTATTGCACTGTCTTTAAATTCAGTTATTCAATCTTAATGCTTTTGAAAAGCACTTTGAGTTGCTGTTACGTATGAAATGCACTCTACAAATAAACATGTCTTGCGGCATGGCAAAGAACAAGGGCCTAAATTAAGGCGGAGTCTTTATCATTGCTAAAGAAAGCTACTGATCTGGACTAATGACAATCAGGCATTAGTAATCGGAGAGGCCGGTGGTAGGACATAAGCAGCTGGCTATGCATTCAGATGAGGTTCAGATAACTCCTATATCCAGGCTATTAACCCTTTAGATCAGACTTAGTGACAATAACTGTAGCTATAGAGTGAGACACTAGCTAGGCAGAGTCCACTTAAGACTCAGCCATTTTACAATTGTAAGCTTGTCTAGACCAGAACCTGTCCTTTGGTGCTCATACTTTTAAAAAACACATAAAGGGTTCCACTTCTGGTCACCGCGAGCTGTCCTGATTGATTTCTGAAAAAAAATATGTGAGGGATGACAGCGCTGTACTGGTATTTAAGCATTCCTGACTCCCTAACATGAGTCAAAACATTCTGAACTGTGAAGAACATCTAAGCATGTGTGTCGACAAACCCTCCCCAGAACCAAATGTTTAAAAAAGGCCTGGCGAGCCGCCTCACTTTTATTGTGAGACGTGACTTAATCTATAATAACTGAGCCTTTCAAATCCTAAATGAAATTACAGCCTTGTCTTGCGGGAGAAATGCCTCTTCCATGCTTTGATTTTACTGACCTTTTCTCTGAGATGGTATCAGTCTGAATCACACACTTGGTCTGTTTATATACAGCATGGGGGCTGGATTATGTCCTGTGAGGGCAAAGCAGAGGCATTCCTGTTGTAATATCATTACTTAAACATTCTTCCTATCTTGGTTCCTTATTTTTAGCTGCCCTGTAAGTAAAGAATGGCCTCTCAGCCCTCCCCTGCCCTTGTTTCTCATTTGTCCCTCTAAAAGCCTTTTTTCTTTGAGCCGTTTATGAGGAGAGTTCAAGTGTAGGTCTGTTAACACCTGCGCATTATGCCGTGTGTGTGAATATGTGACCCCGTTGCGCGCGTGTGTGCGTGTGTGTGTGACAGAGGAGGGAAGAAAGGGAGAGACTCCCTCCCCTTGTTCACAGTCCAACTCTGCTTCCAGCTGTTAGTGCATTCCTCTACACGTCGCAATTGGCTGAGGCCGCCGGCTTATTCTTCTTTCTTTTTTTCTTTTTTCCCCCAAAGTTTTGTGTACGTTTGGATTAGTGCTTGTGTGTGAATATGACACAGGATTAAAAGTCGTTGCTGGAGTTTGGACTGGACATCCAGCGATGCGCGCGCGCGGTCAGGACTGAGACTGGAAAACTGGACAAAAAGGAGTCGCGGGCGCAATATTTGGGGAGCGACGTTCACGATCCCGGACTGACCGGGCGCTGTCCAGCGCGATGACACAAGTGGACAATCTGGCTTCAGTAATGGTAAGCACGTTTGGTAGTGGGGAATAGAAAAGAAAAAGCAAAAACAACGAATATGTGCAGAATTTTTTCATACAAATATTGACTTGTATGCCCCCCCTGAAACGCAGCGCTGGCAAAATCCAAACCCAACCAAATGGTTTGTCCATCTTTGAGCCGTCACTTTATCCGGCTTCTGTCAGAGATTTAGTTCTCAGCTATTTTAAACACAGAGAAAGTTTTTTTTCTTTTTCCTAGTCTCGGAGTGGGACTGAAACACCAAAGGTCTGTGCGTATTTACGGCCAATATTCAGATATGAGACACTTTTCTTTCATGTGTATGATGCCAAAAACATTTATTAGTTGTAAGAAAATTGGGTTTTTTTGACTGAAAGTGATGGATAGGGAAACAGCATCCTACAATAAAATCACTGCTAAGTTATCACAGTTTGATACTGACTGAGTCTGCTCACTGGATCTTATTTGGAATACCTCAACAGATTAGAGTCTAAACCCATTGAAAAACTTTTTTAGCAACTTTTTTTTAATGGACAACAGCATATTATATGAACGTGCACAAGGCCTCCCAGTAAGCCCACCTAAATGACATGGTGCATGATCGTAGGAATGGGGGGGGGGGGGGGACACTGGAACTTACAGCCTTTATCTGTGGATATCCACCTAATGAATTTGTCTCCGGCCACACTCACGTGGATCTTTGTCTTTAGGGTCCTCAGACATCGTGACACCTTTTAGGAACACTCAAGTATATGTCACATGAGATTTTATTTTTGGTCAGAACTGCTCCAAAGCAGCAACAATGAAAAAAAAAAGAAAGCTCAGACAGCTTGGCTCAGGCTATAATGTGGAAACCAGAGGCATAGATCCATCATGGGGGAAACTGTTGGCGTTACTGAGACATCACACCGAACGCTTCATGTGCATGATTTACTTTCAGCTGTGCAAACTGTGTTTTGCTTACTTTACGTGTTGAGATTATTCAGTCAGTTAGGCTGAAGTGATAAAAGATGAGAGCTTGGCTCATGCAGTTGCACAGTAAGGGACTTTCAGAAGTGGTCTGCTAAAATCCTACATCTTTTATGTTATTGTCATGTCAGTTTATAGATGGTCCTCATAAGCACCAATTTTATGTTTAAATTCTTGCTGTCCAGCTGGAAAAACTCATGTAGTTTATCAGTTCTTAACCAGATGTTGTATCTCTCTCCTTTAAAAAAAATCTCCTTTCTCTCTGGTCAACAGTCTTTTTTTCTTCTCATATATTTCAAATTGCGATCATTTCCGTCCAGCAGACATAATACAGTCCACCTCGTGAGCTACATTACAAATATACCACGTTCTGTCCTTCCTTGTCTCTTGGTCATTTCCGGTCCCTCGGTAGCCAAACATCAGTTGATCCCATCCATATGGCAGTCCAAGTGATCCGGGTTCTTCCGCACACACACACAGACACACACACCCTCAAGAAATTCAACTCAGATTTCCTCCACCTTTGAGTCAGCTGCAATAACAATGGGGGATTTTTCTTTCCATGCATGGATCTTGCACCTTGCAGATTTTTTTCAAATTGAAAACGCACAAGAGAAGTCGGCATGCTTCGGATTTATTGTTTTGGAGATCAAGGTCAGGTTTTGGTAATCAGCTTTCTGAGTTTTCCCAAAACACTCTGACACACAATGCATGCAGTGAAAAAAAACACACTCAGCGTCTTTTTGGATTTTCTTGTATGTCCGAAGGTACCGTGAACCAAAAGGCCTTTTGGTGTATATACATAAAAAAAGATTTTAATGTGATGAAAATCTTCTTGAAGACACAGTGACGCACAAACAGGCAATTGTGTTGGGGAAAAAAGCAAGAAGGATAACACTATTTAGCCGTACGAGTTGCAGCATATTAGGGACACAGGGAGAGGGACTCCATATTAAACAGCATCTGTGATACAATGCTGGCTTTGTCAGGTGGGAGGAGAAGAGGGTAACACTGGAATGTTAGGGGAGGGAATGTTGAGAGACAGAAAGATGGAGAAGGAGGGAGATAAGCACAGAGGGCAGAAAGCAATGGAAGAAGCATTTTCTGTAGAACGAGAGACAGGTTGTCTCAAAGTTGAATTGAAAAGAGAAAGGATTATTCAACTCGTCTTGTTCCATTTATTTAGCTGTGTCCAAATTTTAGCCGCCCAAATGAAGTGTAGCCACATGCACATTGGCTAGCCATGATGGCTAACATCAGATATCTGCATTATAAGTAAGAAAGAAAAGAAAATAAGGGATGTTTTTTAACATAAAAGCTGAAAAGAAACAAAAAGGGAAAAGAAATGAGCAACGAAACAAATTGGGGATGATTAAAAGTCGGATTTTCCCAAGCATGAATGTGGTTTTTAAAAATCCAGACTGATGCGGATGGCAAATTGAACTGACAGAGAGACCAAACAGATGTAAAACAAAAGAACACAATGGGAGGAACATGACAGAGGGATGAAAGAGGAAGATGAAGAAATTGAACCAGTCTGAGAATGCTGTCCTGATTTTATTATCCCCTCTGTCTCTCCCTTTTTCGCTGGGTTTTTTCCTTTTTTTTTCTTTCACTTTCTCTTTTTCCATCACTCCACGTTCCCCTCTCTCTCCCTGTCTTCAATCCTGTCTGCAGATGTGGAACAAATAAAGTATCTCAGAAACTCAGCTGTTCGGCAGATGACATCAAAGAGAGTTTTCACATCTCCTTGTGATTTTATGACCATTGTACATTTTTTACGTTTCTTTCAACTTTCATGAAATGTTTAATAGTCTATTTCGGGGTTCAAACTTGGTCTTATAACCCGGGTCTTAAAAGAATAGAGAGGCTGTGCTAAACGTAAATAAAAACAGAGTGTAATAATTGTTGTAATTTTACTAAAAGCGAGTTTGTCAGCTCAAAGATTCTTTATCTGTGAACATCTGTAGACTGAGCAGAACAGTTGTTGTTGGGTAGGAAATGTACATTTGTACAAGCTTTTAATGCTGGGATTTACTGTAAATTGACTGGATCACAAGTTTTAAGTTTCCAAGTTTCCAACTGTCTTTTCTAGTCTTTACTTTTAGACAATCTAATCTTATTTGGCTCACCTTTACATGTCATGTTTGTTGTTTGGATCCCACATCGCAAAAAAACCCAAAGCAAAAGGCAGCATCTGGGTATCCTGGTGAGGGCACGACACACCTCACTGCTCGTCTTTAACCGAAGCAAAAAAGCAAAGCAGGTCACAGACTTGTCTTGACCTGCCTGGCTCACCTGGAGAAAAAGGAGGTGAAAGAACAATGGAATGAGGGGAAGCTTTTGTTAGAGAACGGAGTGTTTGTGTGTGTTTTTTATGGTGTGTGTTTTTGGGGGTGGGGGGGTGAAGGACTGCATACTTTCCACTCTTAACAGTCCTCCCAAAACTTTGAGATTTCATTGACCTACTCTTTTTTTTTCGGGGTCTTTTTCTCGCTCTCTTGGCGCTTTGTATCAGGACTCTAACATTTGTCCAGATGATGTCGCCATCATACAGGGTGCATTTTGTTATGTCTACAAAAGTGGTGGTGGATAAAAAAATCAGTGGAATGTGGGGCATCTGTCTTCTTTCAGGGGGAGAAAGATCTGATGTGTGAGTTTATTTGTAGATGTTAGTGTGTGTGGATAGGGGCTATGGGGATGGCTGCGTTGCGAGTGTGTGTGTGCTTGTGTGTTTGGACTAGGGAATGTTGAAGGTAGCGAGGGTGTCATAGCAGCAAGGGAAGCATCCTCAGAAAGGAAACTGCTGCTGAATTAGAGGAAGCGGTCGCAGGGCTGAGTTTGATTTGTGTTTCCTTTAGTTAGAGATTGGAGGACAGAGGGGAAATGAAAGCAGCGTGCGATTATGAGGGCATTGGAAAGGAGAATTTAGGAAAAGCCAAAAGGGCTAGAGGAAAACAAGGAGCCTGAGAAATGCCGAGTTACAGAGTGTTACTAAATATGACGACTGTTTGAGGTAAATTAGATTATTACAGGATTATTACAGGATCAGGAAATGGAATAAATAGTAGACGAAAGGAACAAAGGAAGGAAATGGCGAGATGTGAAAAACGCAACACAGTTGTGGTGGTTTCCCAAAAGCTGTAATCATCTCTGCTTTGGTGAGAAGTTTTCACTCACCCATCCGGGTGGGGGTGTGCACACTGTACATGTGTATGTTTGCCTTTGATTATGCGTTGACAGAAATAGCAGCTAGTCTTATTTTTGCTCGGTTGAATTGCAGGGTGCTTGCCGGGGTTGTCCCCTGCCACCGGATATGAGGGTGTTTACAGAACTACACAATCACATTTTTTATTTGACTTTCATCTTCTGCTGCCATTCCTAAGAAAAGTTTGTCATCCTTTTCCTTCTCTGTCGAAATCAATCCCAGTTTCCCATTATTTTCCTAACAAAGTTCCACCTTTAAAGCATTTGAGCAAGATTTTTATCTTTATTTTGGCCTTTTCTGTTAATTAAATTATTCAACAAAATTGAGCTAGGCTTGTGGAGACTCTTTAGGAAATAAACCTTCTTTTGGGTCAAATTTACTCCACATATAGCAGGTTTTCTATAGATAAACACCAGTTCTGAACAGGGTACTTGAGGTTAGACTTGTGGTGAAAAAAAAAAAAAACTGAATGGTGTACACAGCACTGGGAGTAGAAAAAGGTGTGCTGAACCAACAAATTAACAACTGCAGATGAGACGTTTAGTCATAAAGGAAAAATGCTGAAAAATCTTATGAATTATCTTATGTTGGCATCAGAATGTGGTAGATATTGGATGCGTGTGGCATTTGAAAGACAGACAGGAAACAAGAAGGTTAAATATCACTGACTTTAACTTGAAAAGTATGTTGCTACCACAAGTACACCCATCCATTCATTATCTCTGCCACTTAGGGTCGCGGGAGGGGGGGGGATGGGGGATATCCCAACTGACATTGGGTAAGAGGCGGGGTACACCATGCCAATCCATCAAAGGGGCACACTGAGACAAACAACCACACACACTCACATTCACTCCTAGTTGCGATTTAGAGTCTTCAATTAACCTAACGTGTATGTTTTGGGACGGTGAGAGGAAGCCACAGTACCCACGCAGACATGTGGAGAACATGCAAACTCCACACAGAAAGGCCCCCGGTCCCCCAAACCGGGAATCCTCTTTCTAACCAGCATACCGCCGTGCTGCTCACCGCAAGTACCATTAAGGTTAAAACTAAATTTAGGTCATTCACGTTGCACTTGAAGAGCTGTGGTTGTTACCTAACCTGGTCAGATGGAAGCACTTTTCCCCTACGGATTCCCTATGACTGTTTGAGCTGTAAAGCTTCCCCAGCTTGAATCAAATGAGGTTCCAACGCTCTGCGGACCAACTGAAACTCGTGTACCCATGCTCACATCATAGGCTGTTTTGTCTTACAAATCCATTCGATGCAGCGAGCAGCAGCAACCGACAATTCATGTAAAAGCCTCTTGTCATGGGTCATTTCAACCACTTCTTCCCACTGCAATAAAGCCCAAGTGCATGTATTTTTATTCTCAAGTGAGAATTTCTCCTTGGAACCCTTTCACAGGGAGAGTTTCTCTCATGTGGTAAGCGTATTTGCCAAGAGCAGTTTTCTCTGTTTCTGTCGTATTTTACATCCAGCAATCTATGTGCAGTCATTGTTTATTTGTGCACGCCTACTCCTTCATGTCTGGACTGCTCTTGGTGGCATTTACAGATTTTTTGTGTGTGTGTGTGTGTGTGTGCAGGAATCTGAGATGATGTTTCAGCCTGAGTCGGATCAGATGCCCCCAGCTGAACCTAAGGTGAAAGAGTCACACGTTTTATGGGGTTTATTAACAGAGGTTGACCCTTTGTGTTATAAAAAAGTAATAACATGACACAGTCCAACATATTACTGAGCACTTTTATGGATACATTCAAGTGTGATTACAATTCACTCTTTCATTTCAAATTGATGCTTTTAGTCTCCACCCCTGGACTTAATCGACACGGGGAAAGGGCTGAAGGTTCAGACTGCTACACCTCATCTGGTTAGCCTGGGCAGTGGGAGGCTGAGTGTGGCAATCACCCTGTTGCCACTCAAAGAAGGTAACACGCACGCACACCTACACATTTACACAGAGTCTGGAGTAAAACCACACCTTTGTTGTCATCACACAACCTGTCCTTCCCTCTCTGCTTTGCTAGCCTGTTGCACAACTCACTTTTGGGTTTTTCTTTTCTGCTCTACTTCCACTCAAATTGCTGGTTAATTTGTGGTTACCAGAAGACGTAAACAATAGAGAGCCGGTAATTGCAGTTGAGGATGAAAATAATTCATAGTCTTGATGCACATCCAGAAAACGATGACTTCAAGCTACAACTCAAGTGAGCAGAAGTCATTTTTTTAGATGAGTGACCATGTTTTGAAACTGGGAGACCTGCATCATTTCTGGCTAAAAGACAGAGCGAGATGTGTCATTCTACCAGGTTTTAGCTTTTTTCGTATGTATAACTGCAGGCTGGAATCACTGACCCGGTTAGCTGTGATTTCAGATTTCGTCAGCCATTCATTGTTACAGTTGAAGTTTATTTTTCTACTCACACTCATAAACTCAGTAAGCCACAGGTGCTTCATTATTATTCTTGATAGCTGCCAAGCACAAGATGGAAAAGCTATGCAAGAAAAGCCTACAGCATGATATAACAAGTGGAACATGTGTGTAGTGTATAATTATTTAATAGCCTTGAGATAGCACATCTAGTATTAAATCAAACTGATTGGCACACGTTCAAAGGCTTTAAAAAGTGGTGAAACACTACTACCAGAGTTAAAACATTGGTTTCTCTCTCACACATTATCTATTATAAGAAATAGGATCTTATTATACGCAGCAGCACCTCCTTGGTTTATAAAGCTATCATTATGTTGCTATTGTATTAAGAAAGAAGCTCATCACTGAGATAGATGGATTTGTAGTGAAATTGATTAATACATTTACACATTACTATTAAGATAATAGATCACTTGTTGTCAAGACACATGAACTGTGCTGTTAAGTCATATCTGAACCATTGTCATAACCCAATTTGATTCTGTTGTGTATGTTTTTCCATTATCAAAATGTGTTTCTTGATCTTCCAGGGGTTACACGAATAGGCAGAGAAGATGCTCCAATTCCTCAAGATATCACGATCCAAGGGCCCGGCATTGAGGCAGAGCACTGTCTTATCATAAATGAGGGTTAGTATCAGCTCACATATATAGTAACCAAATAAAATGACAGTCTCTGAAATTAACTGTTTGTTATCTAATGCTAACAAGCATATGTGCTCCTAAATCTTTATCATCTTCTATCGTTTAACATCTAGTCTCACAAAATGGAGTTTTATATTAAGATTCGAGAAGCCACATTTTCAACATATGTAGAGATTCCTCATTAATACATTTTGTTTTATTTGTGATGTTCCTATATGGCACATTTTGGTGCGATTAACCTCAGCTTTAAAAGGCTTTTACCGGTTAATGCAAGTGTTAGAATAGGAAAAATAACCTGGAGGGACACTTCAAGGTGAGATTCTTGGATACTATGAATGAGATGTATGAGTAACCCTGATCACGTCTCATGATCACACACACACAGGAGGAGTGGTGACCCTGGACCCCTGTGGTCACCTCTGCAGTCTGGACGGGGTTCAGGTCACTGTGCCTACACCGCTAACACAGGGTAAGTTGATCACACGCATTAACATAATTTCTGCTCTAAGAAAAATCCATAAGTTTGACACACACACACAGACACGTCCTGACACACAGTCTGACACAGTGCCACCTACTGGTTAAGCAATAATACAACAAAAGTTGACTGGATTGCTGGGAGTGTGCATGCTTTCAGTATTTCATAACTTGTGTTGTTTGTGCAACACAGAGGCTGGTAATTTGTGGCTCGGTTAGGTTGCATTCCTGTCTGTGTGAGTGAGTCACCCGGGCTCCCAAACATTCTGCTGGTGTTCTGCCCTAAAACAGGAGAGTGTGCCGTATGTTTGTACGTGTATGTATATATCTGAGTCTGCAGACAGCTCCCTGTAGTCCTGTGTGTTTTATATGTGCTCTGCGTAAAAGCAAGCGTGTGTGTTTGTGTGCGCAACTCTTGAGTTGATTTCATCTGTAGTGGTTTGGAACAGCTAGCTGCCATAATGAGTCACAGCTTCCAGCAACGGCAGAGCGCAAATAACCCTTTAGACTCTGTCATTATCGACTGTCGAAAATTTGTCAAAACAAACTGAAACAGTCCCTTTAATTTCTATTGGGGACCAATGGTCCTTCATCTGTTTTTTCTTTGCTTGTTTCTCGATCTTTTGATCTGTTTACTTTGAATTCGTAGTTTCGTTTTCCCCCTTTCCCAGTTTTCCAGTATTTGATTAGTCACAGACCTTTTCCTGTTTCTATGCTTTCACCTTATGTAATATTTTCAATCTCTTCCGTTTCTTTTTTTATGTTTCATCTCATTATGAGTCGCCCTCTAACTTGTCCATCCTTCCAGTTTACTTTACTTTTTCTTTTTTATTGGTGTGTTCTCAGTGGCTGGCCATTTTTAGTTAAATATTGACAGGCCTGTTTATCTTTGAGCTAAGCCAGGCTGATTCAAATATTGACTTCACATACACGAGGATGGGGCACTGTGAAGAGGCAAAGGTGGAGAAAAAGTCTGAAAAAAAAAGGAAAACAGGAAAGTTTGTGAAGTCAAAAGGTCATTGTTAGGAAAATCTGGTCGACGGAGAGAGAGAAGGAGAGCATTTTTCAGGAACATCGTAGCCTCGCACTCCTGGAACTGAGTTATTGTAACTACACACACATATTGTAGTCACACACACCAGTCTGGAGGCGATTAACTGTGTTTAGGAAATGATATGTTCTGTATTTTGGAACTTAAGAGTTTGACCTGGAATCACATGGGCTCTGCTGGTTACACACTGGAACAGCTGGAAGGCACTTGTAGAGATCAAGGGAAAATGTCTATGTTTGCAGAAATACATTGACAAACAGGCACTAAAACTTCTAATTCAGTTAACTGTTCAATAAAATGTGCTTCACAAGCCTTATAAACAAGGCTTTTACTCTGGGACTTTTTCTAGAGCACCATATCTTTTCACCTCCACCCCTCCCCTCTTTGTTAAGCTAAAAGACATGCGTGCATATCAATCTGGTGGTCTAAAGTACATCCAAATCTATTAGTCTCCCACACACACAAACATTTCTCTCTCTCTTATATATCCATCACATACAGACAGACGATGTAGCTGATGATGTTAAATTGTATGCCGAAAGCATAGCATGAAGAAACAAAATTATTTTGTTTGTGCTGTTTCTTATTGTTATCGTTTTAGTTTAGTGCCTATTTAAACTCTTCAGGTTCAGTATTGAGTCACTCAGCCCGTGAGATTGCATTCAGTAAGATCTATTCTTTATCCCTTCTTTCCCCTAAAAAGTCCAATGGAAATACTTATTCGGTCTGTTAGTTTGTCATTATAATAAAATCTGCCCCCCTCTCCGGAGAGAGAAAGTAGTCCCCGCAGACCAGCTGGTTTAGGGTTACGCTTGTCCAATGGATTCTCATAAAAAAAGAAAAAAAAGAGAGAGAGAAAAGGAAAATAGGTAGGAAGACAAAGAAAGCTGAGGGGGCGTCCTCCACATACCTCACTGTCGGACTCTCTTTGAACCTACCATAAATAAACAGAGGAGTGCTTGCGTTCGAGATCACCTCTCAAACTCTGCGTATGGTTTATAATTATGGGAGGAAATACACGCTTTACGGTTTTAGTGGCCTATTAAGTGTACAACAACAAACATCTAAATCTAACTGCAATCACAGGGTTTCACATGTTTAAGCGGGATCTCCGATCCCCCCTTTTTTCTGTACCAACACTTGGTACGGTCCCGGCTCAGACTCCCGGGATGCTAAATCACTGAACTTTCTCCGACACGGACTCCGGGCGGCTTGGGAAGCGAGTCGAGGGAGGGAGGAAGACGACACCACAACCCTGGAAATTCATAGTTTTCCATTTTTTACCTCTCTCCTTTAAACCTAGGCCTGTCATGACAAACTGCCACACGCTTCAGGACATGAGAGTTTATTTTTCTTGAATTGTTTTGTTTCGTCGTGTTGCTGAATGAGTCTCATCAGGTTAGTACTGAATTCATAATTCAATTTTCAAAGCAACGCTATATTGACCATTTTTTTGCAGTAAATCTTGTAAATTTGAATGAGCAGTAGCTTTTTTTCTTCTCCTTTATTTTCCATGACTGCTCTCACGATGAATTGGAGCTTTGCTTCTTTATTATCCATCACTGCTCCCACAATAAAACGGAGCTCTTCCCCCTTAAAGATGTTACTCTTCATCGTTTGATACTGTTTTAGGAGAATGAGATGTCCCTTCTTTTCAGAACTCTTTTTTTCATTGATTGAAAATTACTTAATAGATCATTTGCAGTTCATCTGCCCTTTGTGCTGAGGGTCATCTGCTTCTAATCTTGGGGGTTTGATAAGCCTGTCTGTCTTTCATTGACCATTTGATGAACCGTCCATCTCTGATCCGTGACAGCACACCTTTATCAGTCTGACGTCTGCAGACAAATCTGCTCTGTGACGCTCTGTGAGGCAGGTCAATGCATTCGGTCTTGAATTTGGGATTCACCTCCAAGTCGGTCTGTTGGCGGCCTCACTGAACACTAAAGTAAACAGGTTGTTTATCAGAAAGGATACGCTGCATTTGGTCAACGGTCGGGGTCAAAGTCAAACCTCAACTCTGTCCACCTGGGGTACAGATCATTGGGAGGAATACTGGCCTCTGATTGAGCTGAATTTACTGTTCACTTACATGCAACTGGTACGTAAAGCCATGCTCTTGTTTGTTACAGCGGGCCTACTCGCATGTCGTAAGATTCTGGTGCCGTTCCACCACAACAGCATCAGCGCTTGTGTGCATGCCTCTGGGTTACGAATACGCTGCTTTCAAGTTCACAGACTGTTGCAAGCATGTAACAAAGAGAGCTGCTTTATGGTAATGAGGGCAGGCTCTGCGGCCCGGGACACCCGACACCTGGAAACAAAACCTGCCTCATTGTCTCGGATGTCTCTTGTTTTTCTGCCCGCCCCTGAGCACGTTTTGGCCATTATCGGCAGCAGTCCGTGCCGGTAACCAAGCTTGGTGTTTTTATTCAGCAGTTTTTTGCCTTTTATTTGTTCTGAGCGGGGACAGATCGGAGGCTGGCTGTAAGCCTGGCCCTCCGTCAGAGAGAGGTCAGCCACATCGATGCTCTCTGGGCGAACGGCTCGAGGTCCGGCAGACGTCGTGGATCCGGAGGTGAAGAGAAGCCCCCTCTGGCTGAACCGTTTCCCACAGAATCCCCAGATAATGCCGGCCTGTGTTTTCATGCAAGTCCCCACTGGACCCTTGTGGCTCACGGAGGTTTAATTTGTGGTTTTGAGGACAATTTACGCTCCCACTGGGGTCTCTCTGTGTGTGTGTGTGTGTGTGTGTGTGTGTGCGTGTGTGTGTGTGTGTGTGTGTGTGTGTGCGTCACTTCATGGCTGAATCAATTCTGCTTGACTGCCATGCAGGTTTCCAAGCTCACAGTATCATTCATGCTACACAGCACTTTGCTTAGATCTAAAAGAAAATCAAGGAACTTATGCTTATGTTAACCAAACAGAGATGCAGTTCCCCCCCACACCCCCTCCCGTAACATCGTGGGGAGTTTAGATCTACATGGGAACAGAAATTGGCTCCAGACGTGATGCAGCCTCGTACATCTGTCCCCTCAAAGACTCTGAGGTTTGACTTTGTAGATTGCAAACTTTAAATTATCCTGTAAATGCATAGACAGAGTAATTTCAAGTGTTTTCCATTGCTGGAAAGTGTGTGTGTGTGTGTGTGTGCATGTGCGTGTGCACAGAGGGGGAAAACACAACTTACTGGTAAACAAGTGAGCACGTGAAGGAGATTAAACTTGTTTTATTGTGACCGATGTGAAGAAGTGGGTTGAGATCTTCCAGAGTTTTTTCTGTTTCCCCTTGTCTGTAAGTCGATACAGAATTATGCATTTTGGCTTTAGTTCTCCACGCACGTTCCACCTTTATGGCACTGTTGTGAGCGGGTGGTGGAAAAGGTGGAAAAGTAAGTGGAGGATTGGCAAGTAGGCCTTTGCGAGCTGAGGAGTTCAGAGGAAAGTAAAGGAGGAGGAGAGCTGGGGGCTGTGAACAAATCAGGGCATCACATTTAGCCCCCCCCGCCAGCACCACTTAAAAGGTGGCACATGGCGTGATGTTTGAGGGGTAGGAAATTAGATTTTCACAAGAGCTGACTGCTGGTTAAGTGTGTGTTTGTGTGTGTGTTTGCCTTTGGGTTGTGCTGCTAAATACTGCGACGTGCTGTGATTCATTAGGCAGACGCTGCTACCCCCCCCCACACACACACACAGATACACAGAGCATGCACATTTAGAAAGACTTTTATTAGTCATGTCTGGCAGTGAGAAAGCCATATTATTAGATCTTACTCACGCTGGCTGACATGAATGGATCTGCGCTCGGGTTCTCCCCAGACTGGCGCGTCCTCTGATGTCTGCCGTCACCGTTTGGGCCTGAACCTGCCCCACATACTGTTTACAGAAGTAGTATGCATTTGAAAAAGCTCCCAGCTGCGTAGACTAAACATTTTTTAGTACGCCGCTTTTGTGTGCACGCCGTTAGGGGTTAGGGTTAGGGTTAGGTCTCCACCTGAGAGGAGAATTACTGCTTTGTAACTCGTAAAAAAACAAAATATCTGCTGTTGAGGAACTCTGAGGCAAAGTCTAGAGAGAGATGCAACCTCTTTCGCTCAAGCTGTGTTATTAAATTTGGGTTTAATGCATCTTTCCAGGGTGAAAACGGACAGGGGTTTATGAGGGGAGAGGGGGAGGGAAAAGGGACCGTGTGGACGAGAGGAGGAGAAAAACATTTGATATTTTTCCATTGAGTCTTTTTCCATCCGCGCCCCCCTTGCCTCGGCGGTTGTGTCTGACTTCAGGTCCAAAGAATCTGATGTAACGGCAACAGAGCTAAAAGGTGGGTGCTTTTTAAGCCCTTTACGTTCAGGCCAGCGTTGCAGGGGGGGCAGGAACTGGCAGAAGTTCGCGTTCACGTTGGATTTTGACTTTCCCCTCCTCACTTTTTGTGTTTTTTCCTGCTGTTTTTTTCAACCCTTTTCATGGACTAGACCTCCTATTCCTCCTCCCTCTCATTTCCCTCTGAGGTATTTGGACAGCTGTGGACAGCTGTGCGTATTGCAGGGGTCGTGACCCCGACATCTCGTTTGATACCTTGCCCCGTCCAGCTTAATTGATGGCCAGAGCAAACACTGTGGTCTGCAGATCGCTAGCTGTGCGCGGGTTAGCACGAAACTCACCCGGCCTGTGAATAAATACTCGTTTTAAGCTGAGCTTATCCTGAAGATGAGGTCTTATTTTGTACCTCTCCTTCAGGGCTGCTGTGATGAGAAAATTAAAGTTTGTGCCTTGACGTTACACCACAATGTGCCCACCAGTGGGACCAGCGGCATATCAGCGGTTAGATTTCATTTTTGTAAATCACGAAAAATCATTTACATCCATACAAGTACGACCTGTTGGTGGATGATCTGAGCTCCTTTGCAATGAAAAATCAGTGTTTTCTTTTCCTCGCTCAGAGGCAACCATGTCCCCGTTTTGCCGCCTTTTTGCAAATGATATATGTGAGTTGTGTAGTTTTGGATTCTCAACTAATTTGTCTAAATGCTTTTGTCGAAAATAAAGCAATCAATGTACCTTTGATTTACCAAGATGTCTGACAAACAAATGTGTTCCTCTTATGAGGCAAAAGTATTCTGTCTGTTGTTCAAAAAAGTACAGATGTGTCACACTTTCCACAAACCTTATCCGATAGGTTCATCTTGCCATTTGTGTTTTCCCGACAGGATATTCCCTTTGTCTGGGTAAGTCCTATTTCTTCCGGTTCAACCATCCCGAAGAGGCCATCAGAATGAAGAGCATGCTTCCACAAAAGAGCCCAGTGTCAGCTTTAGCCTACAACACAGGTACGTACACAGAGGTCTTTATTTCTTTATTTCTTCCTGTTCTCTGGGATTATTACACAGCTTCAGAAATGTGACGCTTGCGATTGTCAGGTTTTTTAAATCACGATGAGAAACCTGGCTTTGAACCCTCACATTTATCCAGGTTTTCTGATCATGGACCTCCTACGTTGCGTCTCTGATGCAGTGTTACCAGGAGCGACCATTCAGGACCTTCCGTAAACAAGGATTTGCAGAGCTAAATACACACAGGGTGCTAAAAAAAATACCTATCGAACCGGCCTCGGTAGTGGAGGTTCGTGTCCCTTGCCTGCATGAGTTAGATCCAGTGGAATTCTTGTTCTTTAAACCCCAGAGACGCAAGGAATGTACTCCTCTCTCCCACTCTTCCAAATACGCATTAGTGAAACTGTTATTGCAGCCATTATCTTTACCTTTTTTCCCTTTTTTTATTGCCAAGGCTCACACTCTGACATGTCTATCTAAAGTGAGGACTCCCACACAGAGCAGGAGTAGCTAAAACACAGCAGGGAGTTATCACAATGGAGGAAGGCTGATGCGCACCAGGCCCACAGTATAAATCTGCCCATGTATGGACACCGAGGCTCCGCGCGTGCTTTTAGATCTTATGATGTCTCTCATTTTCTGCCCCATTTCTCTCTCCACCATGTAAGGTTGGACTTTTTCTCACACGTGGCGCATGGTCAGCTAAGCGCTGCCAGGCAATCGGGTTTGTGTTAGGAGCTGACCAGGCTGGGGGGTGCTTACCAAAGGAAGAAAATGTTTTTTAAAAAAGGAACAGGTTCGTGCTTCTCGGCTCGCGAGCGCGCCTCAGTCTCTGGCTGAGCGCAGAGGTTTTGAAAAGCTGGGTGGTCCTGGCTCCGGCGTTGCAACAGCTTCTTTTCCACGGAGAGCCTCAGAGGGCTCGAGCCCGTGGGCGGCTCAGTCGCATTGTTCTGACCGACTGTGTTTTCACCTGCGTGTCTAATGACAGGATGTCAACGGAGAGCTCTCCCCGAAAAAGCAAAAACAAACCGCAGCCATTAATCAAACATTCTTAGGAGCAAAGTCTACCAAAGTAAATCATCATCGCTGATTGTAACGTGCAGCAGCAAGGAGTTTAAAACAGATGGAGTTGAGGTCTGGTTTAAAAAAAAAAAAAAGACCCCCTAAGCTTCTTTCCCGAAGGGCTAGGGGGCTCTTATGGGTGTTTGTGAATAATATGTGGTCTTTTTCGTTGACCAACATCCTATTTCTGAGCAACTCGGCTTCGGTTAAACTGTTTGTTTTGGATCCTGTTGATGGTTCTGTGCACGTGTGCCGCCAGGTTCTGCGTGCACACAAGAGTCAACTTCTAGTTTTGGGAAGTCAGTGCCAGCTTTGGGTTATTTTGGAGCAGCTTGTTCTGCCAAGTGCCTCATTTGTGAATAGCCGCAATTTCAGGTACATGTACAAGCTTAACCTCTCTCTAATTTCTTAAATTATGAGTATTTTTCCTCCCCGTTTTTTTCCCTTTTTCATCCCGTTTCCTTCTCCTGGCTCAGATGTCAGTTCCCCTCAGACTGCAGAAAAATGTCTTTCTGAGGATATCTTTCCATGTCCACATAGCTAAACCCAGTACTTCAGCTTTTTACTCTTTCACAAGCCCCTGCCCTTCTCTTTCCCCGTTCACCTGCATTTGTTTATGTGCACGCTGCATGTTTGTCTCTGTGCCTTTGCAGACTATCTGAAGTTTAGCAGTGACTACAGTAATGCAGTGGTGGGGGGCACCAGCAGCGCGAGGGGCATGCGGTCGGCCTCCGAGCTACGGGACTTGATGGACACCCTGCAGCGCAAGAAAATTGCCCTGGAGAACAGCCTGAGAGCCAATGGAAACGCTCACCCTTCCTACCTCAGTGTGACACAGGTCAGCCATAATTTTTTCTTCTTTGACGGGCCCAGCAGAGCATTTGTGGACAGTCTACGCCCGAGACTAAACAGAGCTAACTTTTACTCACAGCCTACAGAATCCAACATGGCTAATAGTGGTTTGCCCTTTGTCCTGGGCTCTGTTGTTGTACAGTGCTGAGCTGGCGTACAGGTATTATATTGTTTGTGTGTTTGTTTCTCTTCCTGATGCAGTCTCCACCAACCACACCTGTCTCAAGCCCTGCCACGTCCTCATCAGCCTACCAGGACCAGTCCAGGCGTTTCCACGGCTCCGATCGTCCTCTCGCGTCCTTAAGATCTGCGCCCCCGCTCTCCCCCGGCCGCCGATCCGACCCGTCCTCCTCGTTTGCCGCCCGCCCCTCGGCCGGCCGCAGTCAGGACGGCTTCGGCGACGGCCGGCGGCAGCACAACCCGGGCTCCACCCCTCTGCTGTCCGCCTGGAACGGCGGGGGCTCGTCCACTTCCGTCGCCGGCAGCGACAGCTACCTGCTCTCCCTCCCTCCCCCCTCCTCGTCCTCCCGCGCCCCGTCAGCGGGGGGCGCGGTCAGCATGCCGTCCAGCCCTCGCCTGGGCCGCCGCACCTACGCCACCCAGGAACCGGCGCCCAGCAGTCGGACCAGGAAGTACTCCACCGGCTCACTCAACAGCACGATGACGGGGGGGCACAGCCGCTCGCTCCCACGCCTCTGCCCCTCCCCGTCCCCCCGGGCCGACAGCAACGGGGCCCTGACCTTGTCGATGCTTCCACCACGACGTTCGGACGTGGCCGGGGGTTACAAATACGGCAAAGATGCTTACAGCCATATTCAGAGCACAGGCCCCGAACTCAACCACAACTCCAGTAACTCCTGCCAGCAAGGCTCTAACAAGAATCAGGGGGAGGGCGTCGTGTCTATTTCCCTTTCCGCCCCTAAGAACCCCTGCCCAACAACTTCCCCCATCGACTCAGCTGCCCCGCCAGATGTGACCATCCCATCCAAAGCCGGAGGCTCCTCTTCTCCTCGCATCGCCAAAAAGCTCAGCCTCACCTCCACCAGCTCGGTGGGCTCCGTCAGCTCCACCAGCTCCAGCCCCCCGGAGGCAGAACGCCCGGCCAGCCAGGGGCTCTCTCCAGGACTAGATGTTTCTCTGGCCGAAAGGGAACGGCGAGTTGGAGGACTGGAACTCAACTTTGCCCCGGGGCTGGGAGCCGGAGAGAGGAGGGCTTCGTTCGGGAAGGCAGGACTGGAGCCTGGACTGGGTCTCGGGGAGAGGAAGCAGTCGTTTGGAAAAGCAGGTGTGACTCCCCCGGGGGGATTTAGGGAGAGGAGGGGGAGCATCAGCTCACTGAGTGGGAAGGAAGAGCTGACCGACTACCACCAACGGCAGAAGGAGGAGAGACTTCGCGAGCAGGAGGTTGAAAGACTGGTAAGGTTAATCTTTTTTTGGGTCAAAATGCTAGAACCCTTTTTTGTGTTATACAGTGTTTACCCAGTTTCTCGATTTTGGGTGAATTATCTGTGTAGAAGCCTATAAATGGGCACAGGACCACTCGACGTTTGAGCATGTTTCTGAGAACGAGTGTAAAAAGAACACACTGCTAGCATGTCCTAATTTTAAGTGGAGGATGGTTATACATGTAAGATATGGAGTGAGTATGGGAGGGCCTCCCTTCAGAATAACATTCTTTTTGGCCTCTCGAACACACAAACTCCCGGGGAACTTAACACACACACACACAAAGTGAGGTTTACCACTCAACAGATGCTTATGGCACTTTGCCCATACTAACTGGACTATTCTTAACTCTGTACTTGGATCATGTGTGTGTGTGTGTGTGTGTGTGTGTGTGTGTGTGTGTGTGTGTGTGTGTGTGTGTGTGT